GTCTCCGCCATAGGAGGCATCAGCATAGCTTTGCAGCACGCCTTGGTTGCTCCGGTAAACTTTTTTTGTTGCTTACATGTTTTTTGTTGATGCGGGCGTGCACCGTTTTTTTCCCTCCCCGCCCGATCAGTCGGAATGTAACATGGTTGTAAGAGTCAGTTTGCTGCTGCCTCTGCGGCTGCCTTGCTGCAGCCTCTGTTGCTGTTGTTGCTGCGCTCCTGCGGCTGCCGTTACTTGTGATGGTGACGACGGTGAACGGCTGTTTGCATTGCCAACAAACGGCACCAGGAATAGATTTCGACAGAGTTCGTTACAGATGTCATGATATCAGTATTTCTCTGAGAAACACAAAAATGCGCCACTGTAACGGGACTTGTGTGGGAGTGGCCAAAAGCCGTTGTTGAGGCCGTCACTACCTGGTTGCTGGACACATCATGATACTGTTGATGGAAACCATTTTGCATGGATTCATAAGACTGCATGCTGCCACCCCACGCCCCCTGCTTAGCATTGTGCTGTGACGAGCAAAGCCGATCGTAGATAGCCAATAACATAAATCTTGCATGACCCAACCCACCTTGGCAAAACTGAGCACCAATGTTTAGAAGGGGGTGCGGGACAAGTCGGAACAAGTTGGCGTGGATCCGTTTTACAAGTCATGCAAGATGTCTTCCATGCACCGTCTGACGTCCGCTTCTTTTTGTGTCGTGCCTTGTGTGGCTCAGCGTACCGATTCTCTAAGCGTTTGCCGACCAGAAGCTGGGGATTGCGGCGTACCAACCCAAGGGGAGGTTTTCTTCCAAAGGCAGTGGGTTGCCAGGCGCATCTTTTTCGGCGTTCTGGAGGAGGTGTTAGCAACGCCATGGATCCTCAAGCAGCAGCGCGCATCGCCAAGCTGGACGAGGCGCATTTGAGCTTTATCATGTGGAAGGCCAAAGCACCTGCCAATTTCGTGCCCACAGAAATCGTTGAACACGGCAAAACACAAATGGTCACGTAGCCATTTAAACACCAGTTCACTGCTCAAAAAGGCACTTGCCACTGGACAATGTTGCGTGACATGACAAGGGAATCCATAGTTGAGAAGTTTCGGCGTTGCGCCCATCAAATTTGATGTGCTTTGGGTGCTTGTGGCAGCCCAGGAAGCTTAGACAATGCTGGCCTCAGAGCCGCTATTGGCGGTGGCTGACACATGTTCTGCACATATCCCGAAGCTATCCCAAGGCAAACAACAGTTCTCCCCAAGGTTTTTCCCTCCATCTGAGCTTTTGAAGTATTGGCGGGACGCCAAGGAGTGGATGTCGTTGCCTTTTTCCCGTGAGGTGCTCCGCAGTGTTCCCTACCAGTACAAGAACAAATCGCGGCTGCGCAATGACCTGGCAGCGCTGCTGCAGTGACCCGGCGAGCGGAAGAACCGACTCGGCCGGTACTTGCGAGTTGCTGGGTACCGGGGCCTGAGGGAACTTGGGGTTTTGCTTTGAAGGGAAAGCAAAGGGACGGAAACCGGCCTTGGTTAAACATTGGAGACACACCCATACGTATCAGTAATGTAGCAGGTGCACATACTTTCGGGCCGGATCGAAAGGGAGTCTGAAAGCACACCGGCAATCCTCTAATTTCTTGGTTGAACCGTTGAAACCACTTGCTGAGGATAGATTTGTCGTAGCCATATTCCGCAGACTAACAATCTGGGTCACACGACAGGCACAACATGGCCGTATTCTGTTTGGTTAAAGGAGTCACTGGCAATACTATTGACGGCCTACCGAGATTTTGGAGAGGACATGGGGGGACAATGCAAAGTTGCCAGACAGCAAAGAGACAACCCGATTTTTCCATGTGCCCTTGGGGAAACAAGTAGTTTTGTTTGTTCGGAGCGCAGACGAGCTTCGTCTTTTTGAAAGGAAGGGACAGCATGGTTTCTGAGCAGATGAGTCAGGAACTTGAACCCACGCTTTGCTCTTTTGAGAGGAGCTCTCGCAACAGGCAGCTGTAATTGTTGACCTGCCACGTGTTATTCCTCAAGCAATGAGAGCAACTACCAACACCTGGTTTACTTAGTCCTCAGCTGTCCAGCAGCATGCTAGGTTTTTGGGAAGTCGAAGAGACATTTTTCTTTTTCTGCTGACGTGTTTGTGTCATCATGGCACTTGCGCTTTAAAATGGTCATGGCCAGGATATGAGACGTTCCGTGTGGGGTTCCTGTTGCTTGAGAAGCGTGACCTCGCATGGGGAGTCTTGAGCATTGCATCCATATATTGTTGGGTTGTCAAAATGGTGACGCTCTCTCGCTCGCTCGCTCGCTCGCTCTCGCTCTCTCTCTCTCTCTCTCTCTCTCTCTCTCTCTCTCTCTCTCTCTCTCTCTCTCTCTCTCTCTCTCTCTCTCTCTCTCTCTCTCTCTCTCTCTCTCTCTCTCTCTCTCTCTCTCTCTCTCTCTCTCTCTCTCGCTCGCCCTTTCTATGTCTCCCTCTCCCCCCTCCCCCCCCTCCCTGCCTCTCTGCCTCTCTGCCTCCCTGCCTGTCTGCCTCTCTCCCTCCGTCCCTCCGTCCCTCCCTCCCTCCCTCCCTCCCTCCCTCCCTCCCTCCCTCCCTCCCTCCCTCCCTCCCTCCCTCCCTCCCTCCCTCCTCCCTCCCTCCCTCCCTCCCTCCCTCCCTCCCTCCCTCCCTCCCTCCCTCCCTCCCTCCCTCCCTCCCTCCCTCCCTCCCTCCCTCCTTTCTTTCTCTTTTTTTCTTTCTTTCTGTTTTTCTTTCCCTTCTCTCTTTATTCTCTTTCTCTTTCTCTTTCTCTTTCTCTTTCTCTTTTTTCTCCTTCTCCTTCTCCTTCTCTTTCTCCTTTTATTTCTCTCTTTCTGTCTCGCGCGGTCCCGATTATTTTGAAGGCACACAGCTGCCTATTGTGACAACCCCCGAATGGACATGCGTTCACAGTCATGGACACAGTCATGGAAGCATGGAATCTAGAAAGAGAGTCGGCACCCAAAGTTTGATAAGGAATCACACAATCACTATTCATCCCGGGGCAGCGCTATTCATTTTTTTTTTTAAAGATCCTGGGAGAGTTGCCCAAAGAAGGTCCAGTGCTGAAAATGTGGTCTGGACAATTGCAAAGTTATCCACATCTTTTTGACAACATTACATCATGGCTTTCCATTCTGCTTTGTAAAGTTGCCTTTAAAAATAACGCTCAAGGGAAGCTCCCGATTCAGATTTTCTTGTCCATCAACTGGGTGAACACTAGCTTCATTGATTCGGACTCCCTGTTAGATGGGACACACGCAGAAAAGTTGACCAGGGGTTCATAACTGTCGAATTTTCATCTTTCAGAGAGTTAACAACCACATCAAGTAGGGAATCACAACTCTGCCGGCTTGCAATGTTCATTATTCTTGCCTCAACATCAAAGAAAAACCTAATGTTGACTTGTTGCCACCAAGCAAACCCTGAATGTTGACTTCAGTACCGTTCGACCGATGCACCCGTTGGGACGGAAAACCCGATTTGAATGGGGACCTCACCGTGGATCGACCAATTCTGATTGGAACGGATGAAAGCCCGCATTGAATGGGATAATCGACCAATTCTGCAGTCGGGACGGATGAGAACCCGGTTGAATCAACACTGGGACAAACCACTCCCTGGTGCACATCGGCCTGGATATGTGGGACGATCCCAGGTCCTGCCGGACATTGCAGCCCCAGACGGGCACCTTCTCGGGGGGCGGGCGCACGGCGAGATGCCCAGGAGGGTGTCCCACTGGGTTCGTTGAACTCGTGTAGTTTGAGAGGGTTTTCAACATGAGTTTGGGGGCCCAGAAATCTTGAACCCGCTAGAAAGAGCGCAGGTTCGTGGGTGTCACTTTCATGGACCCACCTGTCACAATCCTAAGCAACATATTATCTTGAGGGTTCCCAGACAGATCGTCTTCGAAGTTGAGAACCGCAAGGTTGTGTTTTTGTTTGAACTTGATCCATGCGGCGCTTTAGTTGCCATGCGCCAGTGACAAGTGAGCCACACTCCCAACCTGATGAAGCTTAGTCGGTCAAAATGGCTGCGATATCCGTGTTATGTCGTATTTTGTTTAGAATAATATTGAATTCACTCCTTTAATACCGGTTTTGATTATGACTCATGCTAGCACGGGTAGGGGGTGTCCCAAATTGGTGAATACCGGTTCTGGTTCGTTTTTCAATTTCGTGCTTTCTATTTGAACCGATGCACTGCAGATGCGTTTCATCAGGATGTTGTGGGGAAGGACAAGGGTTGTCTTAGCGCGTTTGGCAAGTTGGAAGTTTCCGCATGCTTTGCCCACTGGAGATTTGACTCCCCCAGGCAGTTTCTAATTTGGAGTCGTACTCGGAGCCTTCTTTCGGAGCATGATATGTCGTCTTCCAGCTGCGTCAGGTCTCTTTTTGTTCTTGGTTCTTTGAGCTGAACCAAGTTTCTGCGAAAGTACCGAAACAGGCTGAGGGCAAGTGCATCAGATGGAATGGTCGAGGGCGAAGAATCGGGAAATAAGGGTGGTTGTCAAAGTGCCATGAACAGAAGGGGCCCTGCGGGACAACATTGAGTTGTGACGCTGGTTGATGCATGGCCTGTCTCTTTTCAGTGAGGAGTTTTGCATTGTTTGGGGTTTGCCTCTTCTTCACTGGAGCAGGTTGACCAGTGAATACGATACGTTCCAACCCCTTGCGACTTGGGATCAAGCCTACCGGCAAGCCGTTTGAGCCGACCAAAAACCAGCTGCTGAGTTGGCTACGTGTCAAAATGGGATTGCTTGCCACGCTTTGATCTTCAAAAGGGACCAAGGTTTCTGCAGGAACGTCCTCCAGATCTGCAAGCCAGAGAATCTCCGTGTTGCGGTGTCAGCCTACAAGGCAAACTCACAAGACTCTTCGCGAATGGAGGACTCCACCTTGGTTGCAGCGCAGTTTTCTTCAACCTTTGGGGTACAAAGCAAGACGTTTCTTCAAGCAAATTCTCTTCTCGATGCAAATGCTTGCCATGGAGCTGCGCCCACCGGCCCGAGCCGCGCCCGCACCGCGTGCGCCTTGGCGCTCCTCGGCGCAGACGCGGTTTGCACCGACGGCGCTGAAACCGCTGGCGCTGGCGCCGCTGGCGCTGGCGCCGCTGGCGCTGGTGCCGTTGGCTCGCAAGGCAAAGGAGAAGCAGTTGGAGGCGGTGGCGGAGGTGGGCCTCAAAGAGGCCGGGAACAGACGGGAGATGACGGAAGGTGGTCAGTGGATGTGCAAAAGCTCTGGTGCCTTTGTAAACTTAGCGCGGAATTGGCAGTGCCACAGGAAATACATCAAGCCTAGGCCCAAGTTCTGGTAGGCCCACCGGGCAGTGCGACCTCATGCACCGTCCCTCCCCCAGCAAACAGATCCACTGCTTCGTTTGTTGGTTCTTTGTATACCCCGGAGACAGCACTTGCCGGGACCTCTGCTGCGTCCCTGAAAGCAGACCTTCAGGTGTCTGCATTCAACAAAACATGCAGTGCCTCGTGTTCTCTGGAAAGCTCCGGGATTGAACCCTTTTGTGAGCCCCTCCAAAAAGGGAAAACCAAAGGAAACTGGGGCTTTTGTGAGATTGGGGCTTTTCCGATTTGCAGATGTTGCGTGGTTCCTTATGTCAGACCCTCAACGCGGGCTCCTAACAGGTTCCAGCTTGGGGCAGTGGCACGATTTGCAACGCGCATGTTCCACTGCGCCAGGAATCGAAGGAAACTTGGGTGACTTTTGAATAAAGTTCATCATTATGATCTGGCATGTGACACACACACACATATATATATATACACGCACACATACATACATACACATACAACACAATCATATGCACACATATTTGTGGGTCACCCGTCGCAGGGGACACATGCCAGCACTTTGTTTCTTTTGGTGTCGCATGCATCGCCCCAATGGTTGGGTGTGACCAAGTGGACTCTGGTTCTTTTGGCAGGTGCTGCGCTTTGTCTGGCCGGTGATGCTTGCTCCTGGGCCGGCAATGAGTCAAAGGCGATGGATGTGGCTTAAGGGAACCAGGGAGGACACCAACCATTCTTGTGGTCCTCTACCTTTGAAAACTCACTTTGGGGGAAACACACATACTTCTTGATCGTATGGCGCACGAGTTGGCCCCTTTTAGGGACGGTTCTTAAAGGAAATCAAAGTGACTGATCTCGGTATGTTTGCTCCTTTGCTCGTTTGCTCGCCTCCATCCACCCGAGGGTTGGAGCCACCCGGTATATGTGGGTTACGTAGTTTGAGAAAGCACTCCTGACCACATCCGCCAAATCGGAAAAAAAAAGAGGAAAAACAAGAATAAGCTCAGGTGATATCCCCAACAGCATGTGGTGCTCCTTTTAGTGCTCGCACCACCCCGCAGCCCTCGCAGAACCTCGTGGAACCCTGGTGGAACGCTGGTGGAACCCTGGCGGAACCCTGGTGGAACCCTCGTGGAACCTTTCCTCTGGGCCGCCCCGCACCACCCCAGAGCCTATCTGGGCTGAGACCCCAAAGCTTTCAGCTGTTGGGGGAAAAAATACCAAACAAAAAAAACATAAAAGGAAAGGTTCCACGTCCCCACTCGGAGCATGTTCCTTTTTTTTCTTCCCCGAGAAAAAGTAGCAGCTGCCTTTCGAGCCCGAACCCGAAGCTTGAGGCGTTCCTGGCATCCACGCTGCAGGGCTTGATCGACTCCGCCTTCGTGGGCCGCTGCGGCGGCGCGCTGCAGCTGGCCGCCCTGAGCCCCGCCACCAGCGGCTCGGCGAGCCGGGAGGTTCGAGCGGAGCTAAGGGCCGCGATTGGGCAACGGATCTTTAGACTTTAGCTTTTTTCGGTTGAAATGAAGTCGGGTTTTCCACTGAACTTATAAAAAGTGAAACACTTTTTGTAGAGGGGTCAGCAACCAAGATCTAAGGGTGATGCGAGGGACCATGGATTGGCCGACATTGGTTTCTAGTATTCAACTCAACTATGGTTCTTCAATTATGGTTTCAATGGACCAGTCCCCTGAAAGAATGGGAGGACTCAGAACCCAGAGAGCGCATCTAGAATTCTTGGCCTCCCGAAGTCGTGGCAGATGAACAGAATTGGGTTTAAAAAGCTCCCGAAACTGGTTTCACCACCGAGGGGCTGCACGACTGCAAGCCCAGAAGCCCAGGCTTCCTGGACGGGCTTTCCTACCTGCCTCTCGGATAGATCGTCCTAAAAGGGGGGGGGAACCTCTTCAAGTGGTCTGTTTGCTTTGGTTCCGCAGGTTGGTGTGTCGCCTGGCTTTTGTCACTGCCCAGTCGGAGGAGCCTGGGGATGAAGCTGTCGGATGGTTTTGGAAGCTAAAAAAGGTCATCAGCGCTGATCGGCCAAAATCAGCCGGCCATTTGCCCATTTGGCCGTGGGTCAAAGCCAATGGTATCCAATCGTGGGGTAGGTGAATTCACCACCCATTTTAGAAACTATTTAGTTGGGATTGGGATGTTCATTGGGGGTACGGGATTTTGACCCATGGCAAACCGGTGTTGCTTGGGCTATGCTCCAGGCTTGCTTCCCAATTAAACGATTCAAGAACGTGAGCGTGCAGCACACATACACAGCCAAACACGTTTGGTGCCGGCCATTCCAAAATGCTCTGAGTGAAGCACTCAATTTTTTGGCTGCTGCCCCCCAACCCAAATGGGCATGCATGGAGAGACGTGATGCTCAAGCCGGCCCCATTGACACTCGCGGAACTTTGGTCGGTGATTGAATCGTAGTTCATTCACTGGAGTAAGCGGGTTTCAAAGTTCTAGGTAAAGTTGGAAGACAAAAGAAAAACACAGAAATCTGCTATCCCAGTCGAGCTTGTGTCCGAGGCTGTCCTTCACGGCAATTGGCACCTTGAACGTTCTGGCCGCTGAAGGCAGGGATTTGCTCACGATGTCTCCAAAGTTGAGAGCCTCTTGCTACAAGTAGCAGGGGACATGGTTTTCTTTGGTACAAGTCGCATAGAGGGTAGACATGCATGTGGCAATGGAGGTGCCTTGGCACGATATGTGGCACCTCTCACTGGGACGAAAGCCGGAGGCGCTTGGAGGCCCAGGCTCAGAGACATCCTTCTTCGCCATGCTTTTTGCTTTTTTGGCGACTGTGGAAGTCCAGCTTTCGTCTCTCATCGACCCCCGACCCCGAAGTGCGACATGAAGATGTTCGCAGGGCGCCTTTCAACTTTCGAAGAAGCCATCAAGATGCCAAGCGGTCCATGGATCTTGTGCTTGCTTTGTCTTCTTCCATTTTTATCTTATTTTAATGTTTTTTTCCCTTGTTGGTTTTAGAAGGAATTCATCACTACTGGACATATTTGTTATTTTTCCCGGGGTCGAGAAACCAAAAGGAAGTCTTGCAAGGCTCCAGCTCTTCAGAGCGGGAGCGGCTGCTGTCCCGTTCCTTGGCGGTGGCGGGAGCCGTGGGAGGCCTGGGTGAGCCTTGGCACGAGGGAAAACGAGGGAACGAGGGAACGAGTCAGGAGGCGACCCACAAACATCGGTGTCCTTTTTGGTGGTTTTGGCGAAAAGAATGGATGGCGATTCCTGGTTTACCTGGTTTCATCATCTACCAGGGCCTGGGAACGAGGGAAAACGAGCCGGGGGCTTGGGGCTGGGGATAACTGGAAACGTTGGGCGCGGCAGTCAGGAGGCAACCCACAAACATATCAGCATTTCATGAAAGCGACAAGTGAGCTCAGTGAAAGTTTCGGTGCCATTCCGTGCCACCTTTAGCGGGAAGGCAAACGGGTCGAGCCCAATTGAGCCGCAAGCCAAGGGGACAGTCCCGACCATGAGACGGCACTAAAAGGCTTCTGGATGTTTTTGTGTGGTTCTGGGTCGACTCCTTTGATAGCCCCTAGTTTCGCCAGGCTTTGCTTTCTCCTTTTGCCAAACTGTCGGCCAGCTGTCGCTGCGGTGGCGGTGATGATCTTCGCGCCCAGCTGCGTGCGCCTTTGCGGAGCCCGGGAGCAGGCCGAGATGCGACGGGCGTTCGCGTCTGCCTTTGCAAAAAACTCGGGGCGCCCACCAAGTTGGCGGTTGCCTTTTGGTCGCCCAGAAAGAAACTCAACGAGATTGTGTCGTCTTTGGGGAACAGTTTGGACCCCGATCAGGGGTCGGGTCGACCACAAGACCAGACCCTTAGACAATCCCGGAAAAGAGAAGCTTTCCGAATGGAACACCCCGATGAAAGGCAGTGGTTTCCTCCGATTGAAAGAAAGGCTTGGTGTTGGGTGGCTGTACCATTGTGACGCTTTGAAACGAGGGGAATCACCCATCACAAAGCACCAACTTGACATTCCCTGAAAGCGGACCAGCCTGAAATGGGACGATTCCTGGTTGGTTTTAGAAGCATCAGTTTTCTCCACAAGGCACCCGCGAGGTTCTAGGTAACTTTCCAGTTCTTTCCAGCAATGATTGTTAGATGGCCGGACTCCACCCTTGAGATCTTCTTCAGATCTTTTTGTTTTCGGCGGTTTTCGTTTTTTGTCACCCGCTTGCCTCGTCCTCCCCCTTTTTTTAAATAATAATAATAATATATACATATATATTTTAAAAATACGCACCTCGTCTTTCCTCGGCATATCTCCTCTCCGGTGCCCCGAAAAGCTTCGGCCCCCGGGCGCCCCTGGCGCATCGGTTGGCGCTCGTGATTGGGATCGGAGAGGTGGTGCCCCTGGCGCGGGCCTACGTGGAGATCCGGGCGCTGGGGCTTCCGCTGGACTCCCTCTTCAGGACGGGGCTGGGGGCTGGGTTGGGTGGGGTGTGGGTGGGCTGGAGTGGGTGCTCCGGTCGTTTCCTCCCTTCTTCTCTCAGGTAGCGTGAATCACAGAAATGGGGATTGGAAGCCCTGGTTCTTGTGGAGGGTAGATGGGAAACCACCGATCCGAACCACCAAACCACCAATCCAAGCCAGTTGCAGGGAAGTTGAGGTGAGGGGAGGATTTCTGTGATTCAAGCTACTGGAAAGAAGAAAGGAGGAAACGACATCAGGAGATGGTCCCAAAGAAAGCAGGAAAGCAAAACAGGACGAAGCGTCGATTGGTTTTTCTCCAGGGCGTTCCTTTTTTTCTTTCATGCAATTAAGAGATCTGGACTGAGCTGAATGACCGCAGTCAAAACAAGGATAGTGGGAACCCATGAGTCATTTCTAAACGGCATCCTCCACTTTTGCGAAATCATCCCCTATATATCTAGAACCGGGTCGCACATTGAAGTTTAGTAGTCCCAACCGTAAATGATAGGCGCGAATATTCGCATTTTGATTGTGGCACATAGTCTTGAGACATCTCCTTTATTCCAGGGTTCTGCCTCAAATTGCATGGAAGACACAACGTCGGTGTTTCCCTTTGGTTTCGAAAGTGACAAAGCTCAAACAACAATTCCAAGCAGCGGTGGGGCTCATCCGACTGGGGTTCTGTCCACTTTCGGTCGGAAGAGTCGCCATTCGCCGCTCCAGCCAGTTCGAAGCCCTTTTTTTGTTGGAGGGTTGATGAGCCGAACAGTTCACGACGCGCCGAACAGGGCCAAGCGCCTGCGCAGATCCATTGGACTTTGGCCATGTAGCCGACCCGGAATGCTCGGTTGCTCGCCTAGCGATGGCCAAAGAGCGAATACCCCCTTCGCCAAGGAGAAAGCAAGCTGCCTAATCCATGACTTCAACCTGTTCACAACTTTTTTGCCACACCCCCGGCATTTGCCAATGGGGTGGGGATCCCACTTGGGTGCTCGGTACCCGTTCTTACGGCTGGGAAGCCAAAGAAGCCGGGGGGCTTCCTTGACCTTCGAACATGGGGTGTGGCAAATGAATAGTTGGGCTATCACCCAGCACAGACTTCCAATCCGGTAGCTCAAGTCACCAAGTAGCTCCGCGTAGAATCACGTCAAGCATCCGTAAGCTCGTTTCGGCGCTCTTGAGGCGGGACATGGCTCTACCCGTTGCCGGGTGATGGTTTTGCAACGGGCAGCACATTCATGGTCACAATGTGCTTCTGTTTTGGTTGCGGATACCGCTGAGCCTTAGAGGTCCCCCCAAAGTGCTTCGAGTTTCCTCTAGGACGCATGCGAAACTGACGAACCCCCCCGAAACTTGGTTGCCCCCGGCCGTCCCCTTAGCTTTTTAGGCTTTCAGGGTTCAGTGGTAGTTTCCATTTAACTCACTGAAAGCTAACCATTTTTAGCAGGGGATCTGAGGACCCCCCCAAAACACTCAGCTTGGGCAAACCCTTGGCCCGCCGGGTCTGACGCGGCTTCTCGGTGTCAGCGCTAGGGTGGCCAACGCGGGGCTGCTCTCTGTGAGGGACTCGCAGACCGGGCTGAAGATCGTGGGCCTGCAGAGTCTGCTGAACGGTATCGGCGACGCGCTGACGCTCGGAGAACGGTTGAACGATGGTCTTTGGGTCAGTCTTGGTTGGACATGATTGGACTCTGGAGTTCCAGTTTTAGCATCTAAAGATTTAGGGTGTTTGGTCAGCTTGATTAAACTTGGATGAGTTCTCCGAAAAGGACACGGCGGGGTAGTTTTCCAAATCGCGGACACGATCGCGAACGCAGATGCCTCCCATTTTGCGCCGGCTGGGTTCACAAGCCCTGGCAGAAGGGCGATTCAGTTGGCACAGAGGGGAAGCCCTCCAAGCGGGAAGGGCATACCTAAGGTCTAAAGGTGCAGCTTGTGTTCATGACTTCTGGACTTCTGCCAGGTCTTGGATTTGTGGATTTGAACCCGCAATTCCTCTTGAGACAAGGGACGGCGCCCTCACGCCTCCAAACCAGCAAAACGGTGAGTGGTGAACTGTGGACGGACGACGGGTTTCACGGAGGCCGACAGGAAAGACAGCAACATCAGCAAGTCAAGGCTCTGTCCGGTTTTTGGCGTCTAGCTTAAGCAGATCTGCTTGTAGTATTGTGACATGCTGCTTTCTGGCGGTTCTTGACAAGGTCCCACAAGCCACCATGCGACTCCTACCCATCCAAACGATCTCAAGCTCTGCGGCATCAAAGTAGTGGCCCTCGCAAACATGCGATTGCCTGTTGAAGGTGAGCCAACATGGGGTGCCCAACGTTCGATCCAGGCTTTTATTACTGGTGAGTGGTTTCCAAAGAGTGTGCTGAGTTGCAGCTGACTGCAATTTGACCAGATGGCATAGGTACGTCCTTCTCCAGCGCACCCGCTTTGACGTCTAAAGGCAAACCCAAGGAACCGATCCATTTCCGATTTGGAGATAAACCCTCAGAAGTGGAGTCTTTTTCTCCGGACAGGTTGCAGGGACATTCTGCCTCGGTTTTCGAGGTCCAGGATCAGCAAGCTCAGTTTGTGAAGCTGGACCCCCCAAAACGGGATGGTTTCCGCCTCGCGCCGCATCAGGATTTGCCCCCACCTGGGCATCGCTGGGGCGGCCATCACCACGCTGCTGGCGCAGCTGGCGACGACGCTGGCGATCCTGGGCTCAGTGCGCCGGAAGGGCCTGATCAAGCGCTTCGTGCCACCCTCGCTGGAGGATGGATGGGAAAGCCGAGTGCAGGGAAGGAAACGGCTGAAAAGAAGTGTTTATTGTTACAAAAACCGGTTTTAATCCTTTGACGGTTCTATGAAGTTTGGGGCTGAAACCACATGTATTTGTTGAGCTGCTCAGGGTCACTTTTAGGAGAGCAAAAAAGAATCAAAACCGGTGTTAATTCTTTTTGTGCTGCATCATGTCTCGGAATGACTTCTCAGGGCTGCAGACAACCAAACTTGCACATCGTGCTCAGACAAGCAAAGCGCGCGGGTTTAGATGCGAAATAATAATTGTTGCATCGATTTCTTCATCACGCCAGACGAATTAACAGTGACCTTACCTCTTGTTTGAAGTTTTTGCAAGAGGCCTATGTCAGCTTGCTTGCAAGTTCCCCCAAGGAACTCTTGCTTCCAAGAAATTCAATCAAGAAGTCAGATCTTCCCGAGTCTTCCGTTTCCGCCCGGAACTGCATCTTCGGCCATGAATGCCCTAGTCTCACAAAGAACAAAAACTGTGTTGATGATATGCCATCCATTGCTCCAGCCCAACCCCGAGCCACAACACGGAATCCTTGTCCACTCAAAGAGAAGAATCGACATCAGGTTCAATTCTTTTTCAGAAGCTGGCAGAGGAACCTAAACCATGTTTTAATTCCCCCAAAATGAGTCGACATGGACAAAAGGTTTAAGACTGGTTTCAATTCTTCGCGACCCACTACCACGGAGAGGTATTAACATCCATGTTTGTACATTGTAGGAGCACTCCAACGAAACCAGGTGTTAACCTTAACTAGCACTTGTTGCGACTTCTTTTCCTGAGTGCAGACCTCACCCGGCTGAAAGCAAGCGGCAGTAAGCAGCAGGCCTTGGAGGATTTAGAGCAGGTTGTGGACAAAGTTTTTGGGCCATGCTGTTGTGGATACGGCTTGTTGGGCTTATCTTAATTTTGCTCATGTCACCAAATAAAGGTCTCTTTTTTGGGTGTGTACGCCCGTTTTTTGAGAAACACCCGGCAGTTTGGCATTTTGTTTGGGTGTTGCTGTTTCTGTCACCTGTCATGGGGACAAGTAACATACGTTTTCCCGAGAAGGAGCTCCGACGTGGAGGTGTCAACCAAAAGTTTGGGCAGCGTGAAAGCCTGCACGTGGTAATCCCGGACTTGTTTGACATGAACAGTCAGGATTGGGCAAATAATATTTGAACAGTCACCTGATGCCCTTTTAAGGATCCCCTTTCAAGGGAATCCAGAAGGAGATTGTTTGAACAATGGTTTAAACATGCTTCTGGGATTGGACCAACATTTTGGTTCCAACCTGCAACCCTTTTGTCCCGAGGATGCGAACAGCTTTCTGTTCTTTGCGTTGCCGGTGTGCCTGACATTGACGCTGAAGGCAGGCGGCATCGGTTCACGGCGGTTCTTTATGGGAGTCCCATATGTGAAGAAGGACAAACCTGCCAGATCTTTTAGGTTAAGCGGCGTTTGCAGACAGGTTGTTGAGTACTGTGAACCATTAAGCCAAATTGTTTCATGATTATCGGGAGAAACAAACAATGGTTCTAATTGCCTGCTCACATGCCGTTGCAGATTCAACTGCCTGAGGGGCGCTGTCGGCAGTCGTGCCAACTCATGTCCAACCTATAGTCGGAAACTCAGTGGCACTCCAACAGAACAGGGTTCCCGGGTTGTGACAGTCCTTAAGGGACCTTTATGCACCAGGAAGCCGCCGATTGTCGCGGATCCGAAGCAAAGAGTCAGCATCCAATTCTGGAGAAATCTCCTAACACAGACAAAATATTTAGGAGCAGAAACACTCAGGGCAAATTTTGGCGAATGTTTCGAGTCATTTTGTTTGGGGATATTTTGTCAAGCCATTTTGTTTGGGATCATGGCTCATTCCTGGGTTTTGGAGAGACTATACTTCGGACTCCGAAGCGGTAGGTGGCCTCTGTGCAGTTCTTGAGCGTGGCTGCCACTGCCAAGGCGCGGAATCGAGGTCTCGAGGAATCGAGGTCTCGAGGAATCGAGGTCTCGAGGAATCGAGGGCCGTGAGCAAACCCATATTGATGTCTCTGACCGCAAAATGGTTGTCCCTTTGCTGCCTCAGATGAGAACTGGAAGCACTGGGCCAAGTGTGAAGTCGAACTGAAGTGAAACAAGCTCACCATCTGCGGGGGCAAAACGAGGGAACATTCACGAAGAAGGTCTGGCACTAAACGGTAACCCCTCTTTGCCCCCTTTGCCACCTTTGCCACGTTTCTCCCCATCCCATTCCCATTATAAACAAATCCCATTTTGCCCGTGTAGCCCATTCGCGTCAGGGGGTGGTGGCAGCGGCAGCGCACCAGATCACCAAGTCCCTGCTGTGGGTCTTTGGTTTGTTGGCCTCAGAGTCCCTCTCCTCCACGGCGCAGGCGCGGAGTCGGAAGGCGGAAGGGAGCTTCGGGTTAGATGGCCGTTGGGCTCTCTAAGGACTGGCTTAGTGCAAAAAAACACGAACACCGGAAAAGCAAAGGTTGCTGGTAAACTGGTGCTCAGAAGGGGAAGAAGGACAGCGAATTGGAGGGGACCTAGGCTGGATTCTGCCTGCGAAGAGGCAGATGTGGGGGACAGAGAGATCGAGACAGGAGCAAAGGAGAGAAAGGAAGAAGGGGTTGCAGCGACGAAGGCAAGACAGCAAAGGAGAAACAGGTAAGCAAGACGAAGAAGGCGAAGAAGAAGAAGACGAAGAAGAAGAAGAAGAAGAAGAAGAAGAGGAAGAAGAGCAAGACGAAGACGAAGAAGAAGAGGAAGACGAAAGATGTAGACGTAAACGTAGTAGTAGTAGTAGTAGTAGTAGTAGTAGTAGTAGTAGTAGTAGTAGTAGTAGTAGTAGTAGTAGTAGTAGTAGTAGTAGTAGTAGTAGTAGTAGTAGTAGTAGTAGTAGTAGTAGGAGTAGTAGCAGGAGCAGCAGCAGCAGCAGCAGCAGCAGCAGCAGCAGCACCAGGAGGTGGTGGTGGTGGTGGTGGTGGGGTGGTGGTGGTGGTGGGGGTGGTGGAGGTTGTGGTTGTGGTGGTGGTGGTAGTGGTGGTGGTGGTTGTGGTAGTGGGGTGGTGGTGGTGGTGGTGGTGGTGGTGGTGGTGGTGGTGGTGGTGGTGGTGGTGGTGGCGGTGGTGGTGGTGGTGGTGGTGGTACAAAAACAAGACAGCAAGTCAGACGAATAAGCGGAAGAAGAAGAATACTCAGAAGGATGGTGATAACAATAAAAATAAGGCAAATAAGGTAAGCAAGATCAGCACACATAGCACGAAACACTGCAACGCAAATATTGACAATTGCAAGGAGTCATTGCAAGGAGTCATTGCAAGGAGTCATTGCAAGGAGTCATGAGAGCCTTGCAAGTTGCAAGGAGCCAAGTGCATGGAGTCAATGGTATTACCACTAATAAGAGGACACGTGTACTACCAGCAACATTCATGCTGATGATGAGGAAGATGAACATAATAACATACATCACAGTATTAAGCAACCCCAGTAATAACAATACACATGCTACTCGTAAGAAACACATAATATGAACAGCAACGCCGAAGCAGCCAACAATATCCTCGGCGAGGCCTTCCTGCCGAGCTTTCTGCAGCGCCGCGACCGCAGAGGCGCAGGGGGCCAATATCAGCTCTGCTGCCAACCAGATTCTGGTTCTAGGGAAACCAAGAGATTTGGACGTTTTGATAGAAAACGCTGTTTGGGCATGTTCAAAACCCGAGGTCGGCCCCACGTTGGTTCCGAGCATTCCGCTGAAGGGGTTCGGTGGGTTCCGGACAGGCGCCAAGAAGACTTTGGGCCTACTGCTGTCGCTGGGCGCGGTGGGGGCGCTGCTGACGGCGGGGCTGCTGCAACTCATCGCCCGCCTGGGCGGCCGCTCGGCTGAAAGCGGCGGCGAAGATCATCGAAAGAAAGCCCATTACACTATATTTTACCGTATTATAGTGCTATAATACATCAAACATCTATGTCGGTTCTTTCGATTATGCTATATACTCCACCCAATAACGAACATTGGATGGCGTTGCTTTTTTGGTTTCCCCCGAACACAGTATGTGCTTAGAGGGCGACTTGTTTTCTCCTCTTTGGTGTTAGAAGGGGAACGGGGATGACTGGAGTCTTTGTGGCACCTGACAATTGAGGTAGTGAGATGACAGTTTTTTGGCGTTCCCCGACATGAACGCTTGAAAGGTGCAGACTGGCATGACCTAAAAGATCGTGGGTATCTCAAAAAACGCTGGACAAACCACTTGCATTGAAAAAAAGCACAAAATCTTGGCAAATCACTCAAAAAGAAAGGGTTCGACACGTTATACCAAGCTCGCCTAGTAGAACGAGCTTGCCCATACCTCAGGGGCGAGTTGTTTCAAGTTTGTTTTGTGTTCACACCACATCGTATGCTGGTACCAATGCGCCTGTCGTTTGCCACCAGATCTCTTGAGTGTTCCAACTCGATCCTTCTAGGTCAAAAAAAAACGTGTGGCACCAAAGGTTGTTTGTTTGTTTTCTGGGTCCTTTGCCATCTGGCTGTGGCTGTCAAAACCGTTTTGGATCCCATTTTTGGGGTAGGTGAATTCACCACCCATGTTAGAACCTGGTTGGATTGAATCGGATCTTCACTGGGGGCACGATTTGGATTTTGACCCATGGCCATTTTTCATCCCTCCGGACTTTTGGTTCGTTGGAACCCTACCAAAAGTGAACCAACCACTTCCAAGACCCTGGTAAATGGCTGTGGCTCAAACATATGTACCCAAATGGCACGTTGGTAAATGGAGCCAAAGACTAAAGCCTGCGTAACCTTAGCTCTTTGATTTTGAGCCATACCCAAATTACCCACGCCCAACCGCAAAACCCTGGCAAATTAAGGCAAACTAAGACGCCTTTTGATCCGATCTTTCCGGGTCCGAAAGAAGACGCCGCGTCGCGTTGCGCGGCAACGCGGCAACGCGCTCCGATGGCGAGGCCTGCGGGTCTTCTGCGATGACGCGCAGGTGCTGGCGGCCGTGCCGCTGGCGCCGGGGCTTTGAGTGGAACGGGAGGCGACCCATGGGTCACCTGAGAGGAACCCCCCCCGTCCCCCACCAAAAGAGGCGCCTGAAAGGAGCCCCCCCTGGTTTGGACCAAGTTTTTTTTGAGGGACCCCTCTTTCCGGTTCTGTGTTGGCTTTTCGAAGGCCCGCTTTCGAACAATGGAAGTGGACGAGGGTGGTAGTCCTCCAAAGCCCGCGGCACTTCTATGCTTGTTCAATCGAAGCTACGCAAATGGATCCTGTGGCTCACAAATTCATGGTCGGCGCAAAAGAGGAGCTGGTTGGCTGAGTTATTTGGGGGAGAAGAACCTTTTGGAGTTTGTGTTGCGTCAATCTGAGTGGGTTATCATGTCAACCCACGTGAGTGCGGCCCAAGATTGCTTGACCGCCCGCGATTTGTAGCGGTTCCTTAGCAAAAAGCGCTCCCTCCTCATTTTGGTAAACGCCCAGTTGCAATGGGCCAGAATTGGTTTCTGTGTAGCTCGGGTCTTGTTGTCCAAGAACGGCGACCTTTTTTTTGGGCGTTTTGAAAGGAAGACAAGGCAAGTCTACCGTGAAAAGGGGTTCCCTTTTTGAGGAACCACCTAATCGGTGATGACCAATTGGACAGAGCTTGGAGGTATCTGCACGGGACTGAAGCTCATTCTCAACAGAGACTAGAAGCGGCATTTGGCTCTTGGATCCCTTTTCACCTTTGGGGTTGTCGTATTGGAGTTCGGGTTTTGCCTGTGAATGTAACGGCGCGTTTGATATGCTTCCCAATGGCTTTCTGAAAACACAATCACACCGATATCTTGGCTTTTTGTGGCTATCTCGAACAGATAGGTAGGTTCCCCGTGGTTTCCCTTTGACACATCCCCACAAGGTGGTTTCCTATTCTGCTGGACAAACAACAACAGGAAAGAAGCAACATACCAACAACTTGCTATCTAAACGTTGGCATTGGCGTTGGCTTGGGTTGGTGAGGTTTCGTTCTTTCCTTTGCATTTGTTTGCTTGCTTGTTTCTTTTGATACCTTGCTACTTTTTCAGATTCGTTTTGTTGAATCTTCTTTGGCTTCTTGTTCTTCCCTCGCAAGGAAAGAGGGGGGCGCCACCACAGCACAGGTGAGCAAATGCGTCAGACATGTCCCTTGCATGCCGACAAAGGCACAACTAGCAAGCTTAGTGCGACTTGAGGGCACGAGAGGGACACCTTGTTTCTCCTCGTTTTGCACTTTTCAAGCGCATTTGCTTTGCTTTTGTCTCGGAAGGTTTACGCACAGACAAAACAAGTTGCGGACTCCTAAGAGGTAACGACCTCTCAGGGGGGAGCGATTTGAGCCTTCTAAAGGGGCCGGTTCGAGTCCTAGCAGCGAAAGTAGTTTGAGTCATTCAGCCAGTTCGCGTGTGGTCCACGATGTTGAGGCTTTTTTTGGGATAGGTCAAGCTGTCAGCTTCCCTTCGAGCCGAACTCTTGAGTGATAAAAGGTGTGAATGATGTCCACCAATCTTTTCTTGGGGTTGCAAGCAGCAAACTACAACGCCAACTGACAGTATACCGGTGTTTTTGGCGGGTTCACTTGCAGAATTTCGGAGATCGACCGTACTTCTTCGACACAATGCGACTTGTAAAATCCTGGGCTCATTGCGAACTTTGTAAGGGGCTATGAGTCTCACAGCTACTTCTGGGAGTGGCTTCGCTTGAAAGCACCTCAGGACAATTTTGAGGATGTCTCTTACAGGGACCCTGTCTACGTTTGTGGGAACATGGAGTTCAAGTGATTTTTCCACATCACGTGTTTTGCAAAGGTTCTAACCGAACAGTTCCACACAGCTAATTCTGGTGGCTTTCCTCCTCCGGAAAATCTGGAGGATCTCACTTCGAGCCGAACAGTTTTTATAAGACGACCCTCCTTAAAAAAATTGTCATGCAAAATCTCGGGGGCCTGACGACATAGCCACATGCGACATAGCCAGTCGTTGAGTCGTCCATGTGAGCCAAGGTCCCACTGTCCTGTGCCTCGGAAGGACATAAGCTGATGGAGCTCGGTCATGGGCTACTAGAGATATGCATATATATATATATATGCACACATACATGGATACATATCTCTACATGCTTTTACATGTTCACACATGTTCATACACCTCTCTCTCTCTCTCTCTATATATATATATATACATGCATATGATTCATACGGGCTTGTTTTTGAGTGAGGGAAGCTCCAAAATGGGGCGGTTTCCCTTTCGTTTCCCTTCAAAAAAAGCTCTGAACAAGGATACAGAGCGCCAAACACACACACACACCCTTACATGTGTGCATGAGTATCCATGTAGATATGGTACCCTGAAAACGTGCCAAATGATCCAAATGTTTTAAAGGTTCACTCATTTGTGCCCTGAAATGAGCGAAATTTTGCATCTCTGAGTCGCAAGCCCGCTTGACTCTACGCCGGTTGGGGGCGTAGTTGGCTACCTTGCCCTGTCCAGGCATCTCATTTCTTGCGGAAGATTCGCGCCAGTTGGTTTATCCAAGTATTCAAATCGGGTTTCAACCCAACTAGTGCCGTTTGTGGATGTTGTAGCCATCCACAGTATGAGACAACCATTGGATGTATTCTTGTTATAAACATGATTGGACACCACATGGACTCTGGCTATGAGCAGTATGGACCGATTTTTCCATTTGCCATGGGACCTATCTGACGGTTTGGGGTGGGTTGGTGGGGTGGTGGGTTTGGGGTGTGTTTGGGGTGGGGTGGTGGGGTGGTGGAGTGGGTTTGGGGTGGGTTTGGGGACGTGGGGTGAAGTGAGGCTGCATCATGCTGACGCCCTTCACCTTCTGCCTGGAGGGCGCCCATATCGCCGCAACCAGGCAGCGCTGGCTGTCCCAGCGCCTCTTCCTCATCACCTCGCTGGTGGGCCACTCGGCTGCAGGGCGTGGTCCCGGGGGGGTCCGGCCCGAATCAGTTGCGGCCGCCTTTGGTACCAGGTTTTGATTGTGACTCAACTGAACCGCTGGGGGAGGGGACTTTCCTGTGTGACTCAGTGCTTGGCAAGCCAAGGGAGAGGGTAACCATGGGAAACCTCATCATGTAAAAACCTAGAGGTAAAACTACCTTACCTACTCTAGTGGTAGCTGAAAGCACTGTTTAACGTTTGGGGTGGGTTGCTCTGACCGGGATGACCATGCTATTTGATCAGGCCTATACAAATTCCATTTCCTGCTGCAAGAAATCCAACGGGACACTAGTTTCAAGTTTCGACAGTGGTTTGAGTATGTTGACCCCCACCCTATCATCGTTGCCATAGAAGACTGGGGGGGGGGTTTCTGGTTTGGGCCCATGTGTGGACCATGCCCTATATAGGGACGGTTTTTGGGGGGTACGTACCCTGCATAGCCCATGTATTTAACACTAAATCTTGGGGTATGTCCATTTGGGCTATGCAAGTTTGGGCCCGCAGATACACAGATAAAGTGAATCAATTGTGCCATGTACTTTCATCTTGATGCAACCTCGAATGCAATTCGGCCCGTAGATGCACAAGTACAGGGGAGCTGGGCCGCAGACTTTCATTTGGGTGTGCAGGGTACATACCCCTAAAAACCATCCCTATGCAGTGCCCATTCGGTCATGTGTCCCTGAAGAGCCTCACGAGGGAGGGCCTCCCCAGATTTGAGGAAATATGCCCGAATCCAAACAAACCCCCATTAAGCCTCATTAAGCCTTATTCAGCGGGACTAAGCGGAACTAAGCGTGCATCCAATCCTAGACCAACACATTGTTTCTTTTTGAGAAGTAAGAGGGGTGGTAGGGGAGGGGAAGGGAAGGGAGAGGAGGGAGGGGACGGAGGGGGAGGGAAAGGGGGGGGGAGGGGGGGAAAGAGGAAGGAGTAAGGGGGCGGGGTCAAAAGCGCCCCCCCCCCCCGCGCAGTTTTTTTTTTGGGGGGAACCTCCCCACCACATTAAGCCTTATTAAGCCTTGTTAAGCCTTAGTAAGCCTTATCAAGGCTTATTAACTACATTTTGGGACCCCTCCAAAATTCTTGCTTGATTTGGGAGATTGGGCTGCGCTCAACATCTCACTGGTGATCCTCCTGCATTGTGGGCCCCACAATTGCCGCGGCAATTGCCTTTGCACTTGGCGCAGTTGAGCAATTCCAGCTTGATTGTTTTGAGCAAAGTACCCCAACCACGATCACACATCATAAAGAGCAGAGAAAACGTGAGCCAGCATAAAACACGCAAGACCAAATCTGAGGCCCTCCCTCGGGAGGCTCTTCCAGGACACATGCTTTGGGGTGTGCCTGTTGACCCCTTTCCCCGGGGTCTCGGAGGCCTGGCCTTGCACTCCATGCGCCGGGCGACACTGGCCCAGACCTGGATGGTCTTCGTGGTCTACTTGGCCGTGAGGGGCGTGTGGCGGCCGAGCTGCAGGACTTGGCCCCAAAAATGGCCGGCCCCCGCTCCTGGACTCCCCCATCCCCCCCCGTCCGTTAAGCAAACGAAAGGGCAGAGTTTAAGAGAAAACCACGAATGACGTGCAACTCCCGTCATGTTTCTTGCTTATTGGGGCTGGTTCTTGGGGTACAGCGGATGCGACAATCAGTTTTTAAAGCTTGCATCGGTGCCCTCGAAGATATGACAAGGAGACGAGGCACTCGGCAGCGAACCCAATTTGACATTTTCAGTGGAGCCCAAGTCACTGAACCCGTCCCCAGCTCATAGGGCGAATAGCGATTTGCCGGTGAGAAAGAGGCAAAAATGATCGCACAAGTTGAAAGCGAGTGCTAAAGGGATGTCATTTGCTGTGCTGGATACTGTGTTTAATTGATGCAAACGTTGCTGGTGTTGCCGTTCGCGGGGATGGTGCAGGCGCTAAAGCAGAGTCCACGTGTACCACATGGTACATGCACCGTGCAGGTGCCGATGCATTTCCTTCATCCGATCCCAAACCTAAACCATGCCTGACCGCCCCGACGGACCCTTAAGCAACCCTAAACCAAGCCTACACAAAAACCTTACCAACGAACTCCACCCCAAGATCAACCCTAAGCCAATCCCAAACCCACCCTAAACCATGTCTCAGGCTTAGCCTGACCAAACCTAAAGCCGCCCTAAACCAACCCTAAACCCTCCCTCAACAAGCCTATTCCAACCCTAAACCTGCCGGAAACACACCCCGAACCGACCCAAACCCTGGCCAAAACATATGCCAGGCAAAGGTGCAGCCCTAACACCAAAAAGTGCGGGGAAGAATCTGAAAAGCCCTTCTACCAGTCTTCGACCAGGACTTCTTTTGCCATCATTTCAGATGTTGACGTTCACCAAGTATGGATCAGAATACAGCTCGACGCAATTGCACGTGGGGCGCACGGCATGGATCAGAATGCACAAATGACATTCTTAATCACTTGAAATCCGGGATTACTCAACCCTTGTCGCTGAATAGCGGGGTGGTCTGGGTGTCCCATTTAAGAAACTATCCTTCACCCCCCCCCCCCCGCACACCCCCTCCCACACCCGCCCCCGGGTCGGATCCCTCGGCCTGAGGTACGCCTGGGGCCTGTGGGGCCGCAGCGGCGTCTTGCGCGAGTAATCGGCCTGGGCTTCGCGAAGCCCAGCTCCGGAAAAGCGAACGCGAGAACGCGTTCTGCGCGGCGTGGGACGGGGTTCGGGAGGTCCCCGGCCTCGTTGGGAGTTTTAAACAAGGAGTCGTGTGACGTCCAGCTGCTTTTGCTTTTGGGCAAGTCCTGTGTGCTGTCAAGAAGCCTTGTGGTTGGAATTTCAGGATGCTTGAGCTTGTCAGATCAGGGCCGATTTGGCGGATGTGTTTGCATCTGATGGTGCGGGTCTCCGGAGGATGAAGTCTTGGATGTAGGGCAACGGGCCAGAGTATGCCATGGAGATCCAAGATTGTCGTCACAGACATCGCCCTCCAAAAAGCTTGCTCAGAAGGCCTTCCAACATGTTTCCCGCGTTTTGTTGGGCCCTTGGTTTCCTCAAGTCCTCGCATGTTTATGGGCTTCAACACCCGGCCCAGAATGATGAAGTTTTTGTACTGAAATGAATCATGACTAGTTAACATTCTGCAGCTACTCGAGCTCTGAGTGGAAATGGAGCTCACCTTTGATGAAGGATCCGGTTTTTGCTGGTTTCGTGCTTCAGGTTCGAATTCTTCTTGTAAATGCTGGGAGAAGATTGTGGCTTGGGTTGTCTCAAGAATTTCCCTAACCCCTTCAGCACTTTTTGGTCTGAGGAATCCATCCACGGCTTTCGTGGTGGGATGCCTGAGTCAATGGGCCCGAACAGTGCAAGGTTCCTTTTGAGTTCCCAACAAAAGGCCACCCAGAGAGAGAGTCCCCCCTGTTAGGACGCCACCATGCAGATTCGCTTGGGTTCTTCTTCAGGGGCGGTTTCAGTCCCGTCTGATGAGTGAGGTCGCGCTCTTTTACCTGTACGGCGTGCGGGCGCCAAGACAAGTCCTTTTGCAAGGGACAGGGTTCCCTATTGGTTTCGTCTTCAACATGGGCAAGCCCCACAATGGGGGGGAATCGGGAAGCGCTTTTGGAGGTGCGAGAGGTGCCTAACTTGTCACCAGCCTGATGGCTTGCTTCAGCCTGTCAGCACACAGCTGCCCTCGACGGCTTGCATGACATAAATGGAGACTGGCATCGGTATTTGGATGCAGTGCAGCTGCAGGACACGTATGCGCGTTAGATGTGTTTGGTCGCTTGTGTTTCCGTTGGGTCATGGCCTGGCGTGATTTCGTAAAACTGGGGAGCCCCCCATGTTCCTTTTCGAACCGCCCCCAAAAAAGAGGTACCTTCCAAATCAGACTAATTAGACATCCAGTTGCTCTTTTCCGACATTTCCAGGTCCGCTTTCTTTTGGAGTAATGTTACAGGACATCCTCTCGGCCACGCCTAGAGCTCGTCATGTTTAGAGACCCAGAAACATTGCCTGGAGACCAACCGTGGGGGGGGGGGGGGGGTTCGTGGTTTTTCGTGGCTTTTGCGGGTTGGCGCGTGGTTGTATAACATCAACCCCACTCTGAACCCACCCTGAACCAACCTAAAAGCACCCTAAAACCCGCCCTAAACCAACCCTAAACCAGCCCCAAATCAATCCTAGCCCAACTTTCGGAGGGTGCCCTTTTGGGTAGGATTTAAAGCAAAAACAACGGATGGACATGTAATTTGGAATTAATATTGTTCTATGATGAGATTTGTTCAACATAAAAATGCTGTGCTGTCGAGTGATTTGCATCAGTATCATCAACGCTGCCAGAATTGTTTTGACACCAGTAGCATCATGTGGTAGGTTTAGACTTCGCTTAATTCGGGGTTTCTTTAGGGAGGGTTTAGGGCGGATTTAGGTTTGTTCAACGTTGGTTTAGCGCTGGTTCAGGGTTGGTTAAAATAAATTGGTTTTCGGTTGGTTCAGAAGGTGGTTGAATGGTTTTAGGTTGGGTTTGGCCTGGAACATCCTGTCCGCAAGGAGGGGCACTTTCCATTGGTTCACAGGCTTGTCAATCTAAGCTGCTTGTGCCTGGAAGACTTCGCCGAAGGTCCTGCCGATCTCCTACCATGGCAACACCTACAATATCCCGGTCAGAGACTCAGTGCGATCGATCTGTAGAGATTTGGATTCATGAGGTGGGCCCAAATCCCTTTTTGGGCTGAAAGGAACATGCTGCAGGTTTCATGGGCTCTGCTTGTTCGGGCTGGCAACGGCAGAAATGCCCTGTTTTATGACGTGCAGGCCAACAGAAGGGCGGGGGGCTCTGCAAGGGGCAGGCCCAGGCATATTGCTGAACGTGTTGGACGGCGCACCCGACTCGAATCAAGTACATCGTACTCAGCTCACGGGAATACAAAACATTCGAGCTATGTCTCAACAGGTGATGGTTTTTGGAGTTCGTGTTTGTCTACAGAGGAGTAATCTTGTTTGCCCGCCTGCGAGGTTTATTTTGCAGAGTAGGGGACAGCACGACGGGACGCTTCAGGTGAATAGCTGGAACCATGTGCAAAGGTGTTTCATTTAAAGGGTTTGTGGGTCTATGTCTATGTCTGTTGGTTGCCCTGCGCTCTTTGGTGCTCTGCCCTGCGGTCACTAAAACTCTGCCCGATTCTGGCCATGCAGAAAGCTTTGGGTTTATCGTTTGGATGTTTGTCAGGTTGGTCAGTTGTGAGTTGTCGGGGCGCAGGAAGCATCCCCAGCATACCCAGCATCATTAGGATCTGAATTTTCGCATTGCCCCTTTTCCATACTCAGGGAGTCGACATAATCTTTGCGGTTTTTGTTGTAAGTGAGCTCAAAGCCTGGCAACATTAACGTGATGCCAAATGATGCTGGTCATGCTGGGGATGTTGCCTTTCTACTTTGCAAGTCTAAATGGGACTCCAACCTGGACAAGGGCCTCCTTATCGAAAGCAAGCCAAGCAACAAATTGCCACAGTTTGAGCTCTGCTTTAACCTTTTCCTGTCCAGAAGAAGCCGAGATGTGTCGTGGTTTGGAGTTGATGTAGTATCCCAGCGAAGCACAAGTTGAATTTTATCAACTGATGCTGTGATGGGGGCCTGACATCGAATCCGCAGCATTCTCTTGAAATTGGCGACCATTTTTCCTCTCGCGGTTAAAGTAACAGATAGGCCGGCCCAGCACTTCAAAGGCCTTGGAATTGCCAAACATCTACGAAGTTGTTGCCTTCGCAACAGAAAGGGGACCCGCCAAATGGTTTATTGTCTTTCGGTTTCCCGGTCAGACAACACCTCATCAAAGAGACACATCTAAGGAACCGGCGAAAACATAGATCCACTTTGTTTCTTGTGTGAATCTCAGGGCAGATACCGACGATGCAGCGGTCCCGACATTTTGGGTTCGATCCCGATGGTGGAAAAGGTGTGCGCAAGTAAAGGGCGAGTGGCCTGGTCAGATGGGGGGTTCAACTTGTGGGATCCAAGGAGAGCCTCAGACTGCCAAGGTCTAAGGAACCGGCGAAGGAAGTTATGACCAAAACTGCTCCGAAGAATACTCCGTGGTCGCATGTCCACTTGCAGCTCTGGATTGGGATCCACCCTACCCCTGAAGACTCCATTTGCGATCCACCTGCCACGACGCACACTTTTTTTTGCCCTGAGGTGACCATCTACTTCGACCCTCCTTACCCGCAGCAACCCCCGCGCTGCTTCGTGACGTAGGGAGCCTAGAGCACTCTTAAGCGAACAGCATGTTCGGAACTCATGCCCATCTTGCCCTTGAAGCTTTGTCTGGGGAGCATTTGGGGGTCAAAACTAGCAAGATGCACAGATTGGCAGAAGCTATCGACCAGCCGCGCAAAGACGATGTTGTTTAGAGCAAACCCTTAGACAAGCAAACCACACCAAGCCCATACTTTTGGTTTGGCAGACTTGCAGCAGAGCGCTTGAAGCGCTGAGTTCATGATGCGGTGCGGGTGTTTTTTTCCGACCCCTGCCTTGCGGGACGCGAGACGATCACCCAAATCATCCAGTTCTCAGGGTGTGGGTTTCCTTTGCTGAGAATCGTTGCAGGACTTGAGCAATTCTATCTTGAGCTTGTTCCTCTGCGGCCTGCAATTCATGCAGCCACGCTCGCGGCCGCTTGCTGCTGGGGAATAGTAGGCATTGAGACAAGGTTTGCGGTCGTTGATCATTTGGTTGCTCTTTGGATTAATACAAACGCGCCACGATCACGAGCTTTTCAGAGCATTTCAGACGCATGGTTTCACGTCTGATGACCACACATATTTACTTCATAACACAGCAACCGGCCACGGCCCCAAACAAAACCCACGTTTAACTCAAGCCCGAACCCACCCCCGACCAAAGCAAGCCAACCCCGTTGCCAGAGGAAGGAACTGCTCAGTCCCTGGCATTTTGAGTCGAGACGATCTAAAACGGCTGCGAACAGCAGCTCCAGCAGATCACTTCAAAGCACAAATGTCGGGGATCTCCTTTCGGGACCCCGTTTGGGGGTTCACATCGTTTTGCATAGGCTCAGCAACAAGTTTCTCCAATCCAAGGCGGCTGAGCATCATGGCCGTGTGATGTTTTGGTTGCCAATGCCGCAAATGCCTCGATGCCCAAATTGCCGGATCCGGGAGGACTTAAAACAAGCCGTTCTCATGTTGAGGGTTCTTTGTCTGAAGGGGATCACCGAGCTTGGGTTGGCAAATTCGGCTCTGAATGTTGGTGCCCGTTTTACAGTGATTGATCCCAGTATGCCATGTACCCAAACTCCCGAAGAAGGGGACAACAACGAACTGAAGGCCCACGAGCGGTATGGCCCTGAAGCCGAACCACTCCCATGTGGACGCGGGCGGCATGCACCTTGGCGTGATCAATCGTCAATGGCTTTTGCCAGGGAACCGACTTTCTTTGGCTTTCCTTTCCGTTGGCCCCGTTCCTTTGGTTTCCTCGACGATTTTCGGCCCTTTAGGAGCAACGTTGAGGGATCTCTGAAAAACATCGCCTCCATGCGGGTCCCTTTCTTGGAGTGGAGTGGCTCACGCAACTCTGTGGTTTACTATTAGGCACCAATGGAAAACGGGTTTTCTTGCCATGCGAGTTAACCTGACAGCCCGGGCCTCCTAAAAGTGTTTGTATGTCTTGGAAGGGTTTACCATGGACCCAAGACGGCATCCATGGTGAGAGGTCGTTTTACTTATTCGGGGGGACTGAATGATGACGAGAATCCCAAGCCAAATTATCCAGGCCCCTCAAACATCCGCCGATTCTTTAGCCTCGACGCATAACATATCTGATACTGCAACATGACGGCCTGGTCGTTGCAAAATTTATTGGTTGGGGCCATGGTTTTTGGGCTCCGGACTCTCAAACAGAGGCAAATACAGAAAGAGTGAGCAGTCTCAATGAGAGAAAGGGCATGGTCTGGAGGTTTACTTTTTGTGCGTGCAGATCCCACGATTCAGATGGAATCAATTTCCTTCACGGGGACATCTTGAAACTGTAGCTGTTGCTTACGTACTCTTTTGCAAACTGACATGGAGCCGCAAATCCCTTCAGTTCTAGAGTAAGTTCCTTTGTGGCGACCCTTACTTGTGAGCCAACTTGAAAGCTGACCAAGAACATCCAGCAGCTAGGGCGCAAACTCCTTCATCACATTGTATGGCGTGGGATCGACTACGAGGTACGTCGGATGTCCCAGCTCCCACAAGACTGCTGGGGGGAACACTGGCCAAGGACTCCTCAAGAATCAGGACAGACAAACCCCCAGAACCCGAACGCCTAGGAAGGTGTCTTCCGAACCTTTCCCGGAAGGTGAGGGGACCTTTGGTTTTTCTCTAAAAGCATCAGGTGGGGGCAAGCTCTTGGAGCAGGATCACCAGATAGGGACCCTTTCTCTGGTTGATCACTGGGGAGAATGAACCAGAGGTTCACCCACTGGTGTCGTTTCAAGCCAGTTTGGTTGGAAGCAGATGCTGCTGATTTCGGTTTGGCTCACATCATTTGCCAGTTCCAGTGCCACCATCTTGTTAACAGACACCTATGGCTTAAAGAACAGTAGTTTGAGCATGTTGAACGTGTAGATATCAACACCAGTTTTTCCTGGATCCCTAAAAGCGACCCGCCATGGGTGCTTTCCCTTTTTTTTCCCTTTCAAACGGACCCCAAGAGAGGGCCTTCCTTCGCCCTCAAGAAAGAAGAGAGAGGGGGCACCTAGAAAGTCCCTCTCGGCCTCCAAAATGGGTGTGGCTCAAAATTAAACAGCAGGGGTTGAGGTTTGCACTTACCAGGGTTCCATGTTGGTTCCGATTTTTTGAGCCACAGCAAAAAAATGGGCCGTGCCCAGGATCTACTTGCCATATCTCAGCTCCTGGTCCGAGAGATCTTCCACGCTGCCGGAGATGGCCGGGCGCCCCAAGCTTTCCCCTCGAGCGCGACGGAGCCGCGCGTGGGTTCGAGTCTCGGAGTCTCAGCATCAGGCTGGACCAAAGCGAAGAGTGGAAGACTTGGCATGGCTTCTCTGGAAAACAGCCACTGAAGAGGATGATGGGTTCTTCTGAGGATGTCACTGTCATGGATCCGGTACCACTTACGAAGAAGAGTTCTGCGCCAGGGGAGCAACCTTGACTAGTACAGTCCTCGGATGAGTCCGAAGCGGACATTTGAACCGACCCCAGCGCTTCTTTGCTCCCGCCTTGCACACGCAGGGTTTAAAAGGTCGCCGGTCACAGACGACAGACAATAATACAACTAGGCATACTTAGCCACCAGCAAACGGACTGGTTGTTACATCCCGTTTTGTCAGGCATACCCAAACTGATTTTTCCCATTTAGTTTCCCTTTGACCCCAAAGAGTACTAAATCAAGGTGCAACCCCCAAAGCTGCTTCAAGTTTTCTGTTCGGCTTCCCGGCTCTTACCACAGCCATAGGTCCAGCACATGACCAGCAGCTTCTCGTCCTCACCGCCGGTCTACTCCACCACCACCGCTGCAAGGCGCGGACGCAGCTGTGTGCAGGGGGGCTGGGGCCCTGCAAATGACATCTAACATTTTCTGGGTCCTGCAGTTTTGACACATTTTGGTACCCACGTTGCTGGATTGTGTAACCCAACGCTTCCAACAATCTGTAATGATTCTTCGGATTGATTTTGCTCAACCCCCAGTGCTTGCCGGCGTTTCGCAACTATGTCAGGTTCCTCACTTATAGGTTGACATGATTTACCCACTAGTGGCAAATCGAAAGACATGGAGACCGGGATGGATCCTCTAACGGGTCGAAATCCTTTCTCCAGTTCCTCGCCATCTCTAATCCCACTCCCGTACCAGTAGAGTGAGGTTGGACACCCCAGAACATATATCTGTTTTGCCCCCAAACAAACAAATCCTAAAGTTTAGGGTTGGACGTTGATTACGTTCTTGCCTTCGCCTTTCTTTTTGGCGGGGAGAAGGTTGAGGGAGGGAGCAGCTGGTGGGCTGATGGGTGTCATCCAAGTGGAGAAGAACGGAGGGTTGGGGTGGGGGCGGCGGAGGGCTTGAGCAGACCCAACCGGTGCAACCTTGTTGCCACTTGGATTGGGTGTGGTGGGTGCAATCTTCAGGAAGCTGCACGCCCTCGGTTGGTGGACATTCCCGTGTAAATGTGCGCGAATGCGATGCGACAAAATACAGGAGCATAGAGTCAAAGACATGACACATCAGCCAACCTACCAGAGGTAATGTTCCTGGACTGAAACATATCACCCTTTGCTTACCTCTTGAACGATTTGATGCGGGCCATCTTTTCCCGGAGCCACGGAGGTAATTGCTTGGGTTGTGCCTTTTCTTGACGGAACCACCCCCACTCCCAAAGCAAGATCCTAATAAGGCCTTAAACCTCCTCTTTGGTCTTGACAGGGAGCCAAAGAGAACTGTGGGCCATGCTCGTTGCATTCGGAGACGTCACCCAGTGACGGAAGTCAGACCGCCCGTTCTTGCTGAAGCGGGAAATCTAAGTGTGGCTCTCCATCAATCTTTGGAAAGTCATGCGGCCATGGGTCAAAAGCCCGTGCCCCCAGTGAACATCCCAATCCCCACTAAAATAGACCAAAATGGGTGGTGCACCTACCCCAAAATGGTACCATTGGTTTTGACCCACAGCCATGCTTTCGTCGAACACGTTGGGAGCTTCAGGCCCACTGCAGAGCAGCAGGCCGCGCAGCCGGGGAGCCAAGTCGCCGGGGTGAGATGGTTGACTGATTCTGGAAGGCATTCGCTGGCATAGGCCTCCTTGATTCGGTTGAAAAATAGAGGGCGATTCCTGGTTTACCTGCTGGTTCGGTCAACTACCAGGGCCATCTATTTTCCCAAAAAGGACACCTATGTTCGCGGGAGTTCGACACCTGATGAATTTTCCCCCGGCAGTTGTTGATCAGGGCGAGCGCCGACTTAAAGGGAAGCCATCAGTGAACCCATTTGGGCTGTCAAAAGTAGGAGGAATTTGTTGGACCCTGCAAGCTTTTGACAGCCCCCCACCCATTTCTGCAAAGCCCCTATTTTTGGAGACAGGGGTTCGATCCAAAACTGCCATGTTGTCTATTGTGAGTCGGGGGCGAGCCCCAAAACTTCAGCCAAACCCAGGCTACTCACTCGTTGCCCCACGTCCGTTTGAGTCGAAGGTTAACCCAAGAGCCCCTGCTTTGAAGCTTGCAACCCTGCACGCTCCTCTGATCCCCCGCAGAAAGGCAGAGAGAACACCTCAGGAAAAGCTCGGCCAGCAGCCTCCAGGTACAAACACGTTACTTTGGTACCAAGAAACAAGCCAGAAACAAGCATGGTTTGGTGTGGTTGAATGGCCGGGGCGCTTCGGAGGCAAAAAGTGGGCAAGATCCAGCATGCTGGGGAAATGGACAAACCACGCCACGACCGTGCAGCAAAAAGTGGCTCGTGTACTGCACATCTTTTTTCATTGGCGCGCTTCCGTTGTTTCGCTGCTGGTCTTCGCACTCGCTTGGCGAGTTCTTCGTTCTTCTCCGCGAGAGACGCTAAGGTCCGGCCAGGGCGCGCTCTCGGGGGTCTTCAACTTCCTTGGGAACCTCACTGGAGGCTTCTGGGCGGCGAGCTTGCGGCTTTGCACCGTTCGCCGCACATTTTTCTTTTCCTGCTTGTCACAAATTGTTGAAAATTAGCGGAACGAGAGCAACCACAATTTCAGCGTGGCTCATGTTGGTAGCTTGCCCAAGTGCCTTTTCACATGTTGCCTCAGATGTCGAGCGCGCAATCTTCCGAATGAAACTCATAATACTTCTTACTTTCAAAGATCAGAAGAAATGAATATAAAACCACATCATGAACATCATGACCCTGTGGCTCGTCCCTAGACCCGGGGGCTCCCTCCAAAGCACCGCCGCGTGGCGCGTTGCGCGTTGCGCGTTGCGCCAGGCCAGGCCTCGGCGAGCCCCACCCCGGTGGCCGGGGACCTCACCGCATCTCCGACTTCAATGTTAAGGCTAGTTCGACCCCAAATTAGACTGGGGTTAGCCCAATATTAGACGGGGTCAACCTAAATTAGACTGGGGTTAACTTCATATTAGACTGGGTTAACCTTAAAAACCTTAAAATGAAAGACTGGGGTTAACCCCGATTCATGTTGACCCCCATAGCAATCAATTGATAGGATCACGACAAGCTGTTGCATCATGTTTGCTTTTAGGCGTTGATGATCATATAGAAAGTATTTGGTCTAAATGTCTTGGTCATTGTGTACAAATTCAAAGTGTTCAGGAGGCATTTTTATAGGGACTTCAGATGTACGCGAAAAAGATCGTATAATAAACGAAAGTAATGGAACAACAAGTGGAATTATTCCTCTGCTGAGTGTATTTAGTGATACTGCCAAACTAATTGATTTTGGCCAACCAATTGGAGACCGAAGTGGAGGGTAGCCACAACCAATCCGAGGGACCAAAAGAAGACCAAAGGAAACCAAAAAGAAACCCAGAGAAAGGTAACCAAAGGTGCATCCATGTGAAGGGATACTGAGCCTGCAACAACAATTGCACGCCCATGTAGATGCTCTTCATGACATGTTACAATATGCTTCGTACCAGATGATTTCTACAATTCAGAGCCAACTCGCAAGCAAAGCCATGGCAGCCAGTATGGGCCATACATCTCCCATGATAGGAAAACAATAGGTAACCAGGCTCCAGCCGTGCACGATCAGGAAACCCAACCTGAAACTTGGATAAGAGCAAAGGCACGCATACAAAGCCAACGGCAAAGCATCACTTCGCAGGTGGCACTTTCAGCAACCCGCAAAGACGGAAGAGACGCATATACCAGTCCGCGCATCTGGAAGTTGAACATGGGCCAGGAGTCTTTTGGAGAGCTGCCATGAGGCCCCCAAAGGGTTGAGGCAGTGACAGCACTCATGAAAAGAAACACAAGTGCCGGGTCTACCCCTGTCAGGGGAGAGAGTTCTGCTTGCGGTTTCTGGCTTAAGGAGACCAGGGCCTTCGCACTGAGGTGACGGCCACGGCGGTGCCTGTGCAAGCGCAGCCTGTGGCGGGGCGGCCTAGGTTTTGGGTTGGGTTTGGCGCGACGTGGTGAGCCGCAGGGTGCAACTTATGTGTGTGTGTGCGGGTATTTGTAAATGTATGTATATATATATATACAGGTGGTTAAAATCAAGCAAAACCTAGGCACCAGGGGGGGGCGTACCATATATATATACATATATATATAATATATATATATAGACATGTATATGTAGACCTAGATATGAATAGGTACACGCGTACACATGAACATGATGTTGTGCTTTTCTGGGCGCCTCAGCAGCGATCTAGATGATGATGACGACGATGATGATGTTGATGTTGATGTTGATGATGTTGATGTTGCTGATGCTGATGATGATCATTTTTCTCCTATCGTCGTCATTGGGATGGTTCCCACTTCAGTGCCACCCAGCGGGCAACTAGAGAATACAATGCAGACAGTGGCGAAACGAGCCGAACCAACCTGCTGGGCAAAGACGCGGCCAATTGAAGGGATGATTGAACGGTTTCAAAGAACGAACCAATTCAAACGTTGTAGGCAAAGCTGCTGGCATGACGTCTGACATGGAAGGCAAATATGAGCCTGAAGTGCTGCTGACGACAATGCACGGCATGCTGAGTATTGGGTAGGATCTTCCGGTGCCTCGTTCGCTTTCACTTTTTAGGTCCTTGCCATCTTCTCGTGCAACAATCTGAATCCTGCTGCAGCTGCAGAACACGGCAAGCCCGCTAGATCTATCGTTGCAAAGTCCACCGTCAAGTCTGAGCTGTGTCGAGCGCCGAAAGCAAAGGCACTGCGTTGCCGCGGCTTTTGGGTACCCAGATGCCAAAAAACTCAGTGCCAAGAAAGCGTTCGAACAAATTCGGGATTTTTTTGGTTGACACCTTTTGGCATCATTGGCAGGTGTTGCCCATCAGCACAGGTGCCGGTTTTTGGGGATTGAAATTCATCGCCGAGCAACAGGATGCCTCGGGGCGCACTTGAGGCCACGGTGGTGGCCACTCCCGTGCCGGGCGCCCGGGTCGGTTGGGATGCGGCGCGACGCTCGGTTGGGTTGCGGGGCCGGGGGCCGGGCCCATGACGCCTTGGGCTCTCGCTTTAGAAGGGACAAGTCAGTTACAAAGGGAAGGATTGGGAGGGAGGGAGGGCTCCGGGAAGGGATTTGGCAAGATTTATCAAAAGTGGTCGGGATAAAGGGGCTAGGATTTTTTTTCTTCTTATTTTTTAAATCACAGAGGGAGGTTGTTGCCAGCACGGCTTGATTTGAGGTGAGCAGAGAATGTCTTCGGCATCTGCATACGTCTGATTCTGATGTATGTTTGCCCTTTGGCCCCAGTGGCGAGGCCGTATTCCCCTTAGAGTGGGTGGCTTCGGCCATAAGTCGAGCTTCCTTTTGGTGCGATTGGAGGGGAAATACCGGAGTTTTGGTCTAGGGCTCTTTCAGCTTTCATGTTTTTCAGCGAGAACTTTTTTTTTGGACAAGGTCAGGCACGCATGGGGTTTGCACGGGACGGACTGGGCTTAATCCAGTTGTGCCCTTGTGGACAACGCTTAGGGCGTTCATTTTTGCTGAGCAAAGTTCATTTTTGCTGAGCAAAAAGAAGGCCTCTGCGAGCGGAGTCGGTTCTCATGCCAGTCATGCGCCAAAAGGATACCAAAGGGCACCAGGATTGGGCTTTAGTCGAATGGTTTGAGTTTCATGTTTACCCACCTAATGACTAATGCTGATTTTGGCATGTGACAAAAATTGTGTCTGTCAGAAATGGGGAGGCTGCAAGCAAGAGATCAGTTTTTTGTTAGAGATGGGGAGGGGGCAAAAAATCGCTTGGGGCAAAACCGGAAACTCCTCGCTTTCCGCCTGTCGCCCAGGCCCAGGCGAAACGAGAAAGAGGAGCTTGCGAAGGCAGTGACGGCCACCCTGAAGGAGGGCCGTGGCCGGTTGTGCAGTGGGTTCTACCCGCTTTTTTCGTCGTGTTTTTTGTTGGACAGCTTTTGATTGTTCAGAATCAACCAACAAAGGGTGTCCGTCTTTTTTTGTTGGACAGTTTTTGTTTGTGTTTAGAAACAGGCAACAAAAGTGTGTCCTTTCCTTTTTCCCCAAGGGCAGCTGCGCTTCTGAGACTCCGCCTTGGTTACTTAAGAGAAGGTGTAGGTTTCAGCTTACTTTGCAAATTAGCAGATCGCCAAGTCGGAATTCGTTCACAGCTTCTTGCCTGTTGACCTGGCAAACTTGTGACCATTTCACCTGGCCATCAGACCCTACCCTGCAGCAGTATGGCCAGAAAACCCATGACCCCCGCCCCAAAAACAGACGGCTATGAGAAGCGATTCCCCCCCAAAAAAAACACACACACACACACACACACACACACACACACACACACACACACACACACACACACACACACACACACACACACACACACACACACACACACACACACACACACACACACACACACACAAGTACAGACACACAAACACACACGCCATGAAATATATCAATAATGCTAAATGAATAAACACATAAATAAGTACACATATAATTCAACCAATCATTCTCTCTCTCTCTCTATATATATATATACATAAACAAAATACATAAGACATTAGAAATAACAATGACAATGCTATTAATGATAATGATAATACTAATAGAAATAATAGCAATAACATTACAGATAATACTAATAGTAATAATAATAACAATAATAATAATAATTAATAATCATGGTAATAATACTGCTGCTACTACTACTGCTACTGCTACTGCTACTGCTACTGCTACTGCTACTGCTACTGCTACTGCTACTGCTACTGCTACTGCTACTGCTACTGCTACTGCTACTGCTACTGCTACTGCTGCTACTACTACTACTACTACTACTACTACTAGTACTAATAGTACAACATAATAATAGTAAATAAAACAACCAACAAAGTAGTAATAATAGCATATATACATAAACAGTATCCACGAGACACGTGACATTGTAAACATAAACCAACACATGAATCATAAACATAAAACCAACCCATGAATCATTTTAATAAACGTTGTTTGAACACCTACTTGCAAGTGACACCAATACTAGTACTACTAGTACCATAAAACCAACCCCCTCATTCAAGGCAAATGGGTATGGGCCAAAATTGGTCCGCCACACAACTGCAGGCTTTAGTCCATGCTTCCACTTGCCAGGGTTCCATTTTGGGCACCGGTTTTTGACCCACATCTACTTGTTTGCATTATACTTGCACGTTACACCAATACTATGAATAATGAAACTATAAAACCACCCCCTTATTCAAGGCATAAACTAAGCATATACACATAAACAGTAAACATGAGAGACAACATAAACATAAAACCCCCACAGGAATAAAGCCAACCATAATCATAAACATAAAATAAAACATACACATACATCATAATAAACATAAAGCCAACCCCCTTATTGAAGGCACACAGATGTCCACCTTTGGTCTTGGGGGCCGAGGAGCGGTGGCCTTCCGTGGTGGAGCCCTTGGCCGAGGACCTGCGCCAGCAGCTGGACAGGACCCAGTCCCGGCGGTCCCCAAACCCGGAGACCGGGTTCCGGAAGCCGGACACCGGAAACGGAAGAGACACCTGGCTTGGGGGGCGAAAAACCTCAGTTCCCCGACTTTTCGGCGGGAGTTTTTCGCTTTGGATGTTTGAGCCAAGTCTTGGTCCCGAAATGAAGCTTCCAGCTTTTGGGCCTGGACCGACTTTTAGGGGGGTCGAAAAACCTCAGTTCTCCAACTTTTTGATCCCAGGAATTTAGCTTTGAGATTTGCTTGGTGTTGCGCCTTTCCTTTTTTGGCGCCAGGAATCCGGTATATCTCCCCTTTGGGTGGTTGTAAACGGGCCAACCTAAGACATTTTTTTCTGGGGGTGATGTTTGAGGGGAAATATAGGGAAGTCCCATGTGGCCATTATGTACCCATTGCGTATCTAGAGGGTGTTTAGAGGGTGCTTTTACTTGCCAAGGTTGGCCTTTTGCTCAGCCTGTGCCTTTTGTGTGCTTTCCAGGATGAAAGCTGCTTCTTTGGAATCTTTCCTGACTTTCAGCTTTCTGCTGTTGATCTTCAGTTGGGGTCTGTGCGACAAACCGCTTTGTGACATACCAAGGGTTGAGGAGCTTTTTTTATACGGACCGCACTGGTGTGCAGCGTGAAGCTAGAGTGGGAAAAGGTGGCCGGGCACTTCGACGCGGGACGCAACCTCCAAAAGAAGGGAGGGCTTGTGCCGGACTTCCGTGGTCAAAAGACTCGCCCTTGAATCACTTGGGGTTGGCCGGGATGGTCGTTGTCATGGGGATTTCATACAACGGCATTACTTCCAAGCTTTTTTAATTTTATTTTGGGGCCTTGGTGCGGTGATGTCCCCAAGGGTGAAATTGCAATATGTAATACAAGCCCCCTTGATCAAATTGCAACCTTTGACTAGCGACTCACAAAACTGCTTCCATGGGGCCCAACCAACTTCACTGCAAATGTCCGTGTTCATTCAGCAGCTTCGGCAGGTTTCTGGTGCTTCGTGCCAGAACAGATGACTCGATTTCACATCGCTTGTTCTCCCAGAAGAAAAAGCGTTAGCCTCGGGTCATTCTCTCATAGCAAGTCTGTTTGGAGCGCGAGACTGAGTTTTCGTTTGGCATGCTTTTTTCTGGGGTCCAAAAAATGAGGCTCGGCAACCAATAGCGGCGATTTCGCGGCACCAAACCCTTTGCAACACGGGTTTGTCTTGACAGCGACATTGCTCACTAGCAGACTAGCAGGCGATTCTTTGAGTATCGTATTTCACCCACATACCGGGCTGACAGTGGCAGTTGTGCCTCGATGCCAGAACTGTGGTTGGTAGACGGCACTGTTGGACCCTTGTGGTGGGCGCCGTTCTTGGGCCCGGGGCCGCGTCGCCGGGGGAGGAAAAAGGAACTACAGAAGGCGCAGAAGGAGTTGGAGCAGGACGTCACTTGGTTCATAGGACTTCGAGCGTATGGCAAGAAAGGAACAAGTCTGGGCTGTTGCCGACTAAAGTGAGACGCATTTATTTTTTGACATGTTGGAATACCTTTGTTGTCCTTGAACAATTGAATACGGCTTTCCGTGGGGGGCAATGTGGATTTGTCTCCAAAGCGGGTGTTCAGGCTTTACCTGTACCACAGCCCCATACGGGTGTTGGCTTTCTAAGCCATTGGATGCAGGGCCCACTTTTTGCCCTCGGACTTTTTCATTGGAAGATCGAGTTCAGTGGGACCCGCCCCTTCCCGTTGTTCTTGCGGGGTACCGCTTCTTTGTGGCCCACAGCTCCCTTTTCTTTTGTTGGAGGGGTTCCCTTAAACAACTTCCAACAGAAGGGTTCCCTGTTTCGCGTGATGCACCCAGCCAAGTCGTCAACCCTTTGGACCTGGTAGGGATCCAGCTTCGATTGCACCTCCCGGTTGTACTTTCGATGCAATGCTTCAGGTTTGGGTGTGGTGCCTTACGCTTGTTAGGTTGGATAAGGCGGGCTTAGGGTTGGTTGTGGGTGGGTTAAGAGTTGTTTTGAGCCTCGGCTCAACTTAGGGTTGGCATCGGGCGGAGTATAGGTCCACTGTTGCTTTAGGATTTGTTTGGGGATCGGTTAGGGTGGGTGTCCGGACTGGTTTGCAATCATTGAGGTTGTTGGGTTGGTACTCTTTGTGAGACCATGAGCACAAAGCCCAGGCCCATAAACGCGGTCAAGCCTTATAAAAGTACATGACCTGAAAGGTAAGCACTGCACATAAGCTCCTCAAGAGACAAAAATCACAGGTGCTCGGCAGTAGCACACTTCAAGCAAGGCATGCATTGACTTGGCGAAAGCTGCACAACACTCCCTCAAGTGTCACAGCTGCAAGGCACACTATGCAAATCACGCTGTGAAAAGGTTCCGATGCGCGATATGCTCATGCAATCTCGTCAGAGTCACACTGCAGGCAGGTATCCGGAACAACAAAAGCTGAAGATGTGACTTAGGTAGGGGTACACAGGAGGCCATCATTGAGGTTGTTGGGTTTGACATGTCATGACATCGATGTAAGGCAATGTCATAACACGTGTCATTTTCAAGGCACTTGGCGGTGGCAAATCAATGGCATTGGCTGTTCCATGAACCTTAATTTGATGCCCTGTTTCGGGGGCGGGGGTGTTGAATGCTGCAGATCGGGTCTGGAGATGTGCGGCCGGCCCACTGCCAGGAGCAGACGAAAATGAAAGATGCAGTGCAGCAGGCAATGGGAGATGGATCAGCAGCAGCAGAAGTGTCCTTTCTAGGCGAGTTTGGTTGAACTTCTAGTCACTAGTCAAGGCACTACCATCTTCTTCCACGACAGCTAGGGGGCAGTGGTCTTGTGGAAGTTGAGGGAAGTGCCTCATGCGCTGATCCTGGCAAGATCTGGGCCTATGCACGACAGCTGCTTTCCGTTTCTTGGTTCGTCCAGGGCGAGGGTTCTTTCGGCCCTGGGGCCCCTGAGTTTCTCCAACTTTTTTTTGGGATGCAGCTGCCTTCTTGTGGCGGGCGGCAACCGTTTTTGCCATCCATGCAACAAGCGGCTTTCCGGATTCGCGCATAGTCTGCTTCAAGTCCAAACAGCAAGGTTTTGTCTGCTGCTGTTGGCTTTTGGCTGCGAAGTGTGTTGCACAGAGTACCACTTTCAGCTTCCCTCTCATTGGATCTACTTGGTGTGGATCAGTGGCCACTTCCATTGATTCAAACCGCCAGATGCCTAATGGACCAACAACTAAAAACAGCATGTTCAAATCACTCCTACAAAGTACATGTACTTGACTAGGCATTCACCTTTGTGAGAACGAGAACGATAAATATTGCCATCATCCATCATGCGTTTGTCTGCTTTTTGTTTTTCTTTGCTTGCTTGCATGTAGGTGGCACTTGGTGCGCGTTTGATTCCCCCAACCCCCCCCCCCCCCCCCCATTTCCAAGCACCGTATGGGGCAGGCCCCTACTCCTGGATGTCGAGATCTATATCCGTCTACACCATGTAATATGTTTTTATGTCTATCTATCTCTCCATGTCTATCTATGCATTTACGTATCTCCCCATGTCTATCTACAATTTGTCTATACCCATCTCTACCTTTATGTACCATACGGGACTTGTCGCCGCTTTGCCTTTCAAGGCGCGCAGGTCAAAGGCTGCCTGAAGTGCTCCAATGGCTTTGCTGCCGCTTGCTAACCTCGCCCTGGAGGCAAACACACGCGAAGCATTCAGCCTCCAAGGATGTTTCGAGAAGCCCCTCCTCCCCCTTGTATATTTTTTGAATCTCCCTCTTTTCGTCCGCCACCTCCTCTTCTCACTGCCTTCTTGGATGGCTTACAAGGAAGCACACACACACACACACACACACACACACACACACACACACACACACACACACACACACACACACACACACACACACACACACACACACACACACACACACACACACACACACACACACACACACACACACACACACACACACACACACACACACACACACACACACACACACACACACACACACACACACACACACACACACACACACACACACACACACACACACACACACACACACACACACACACACACACACACACACACACACACACACACACACACACACACACACACACACACACACACACACACACACACACACACACACACACACACACACACACACACACACACACACACACACACACACACACACACACACACACACACACACACACACACACACACACACACACACACACACACACACACACACACACACACACACACACACACACACACACACACACACACACACACACATCATGCATTGTGTGCGCATTGCATGCCACATTTTGAAGTCCATCCCACGCGGTTACGTGGGTTTGCTTTTGCTTTTCCTTTAATACCAACAACTCTTGAGTTGATATTCCTTTAGGTTGTTGGTTTCAAGGGAGGGACACTAGTCCGACCACACTTTTTTCCCGCGCCGTTCTGCAAGCAGCAACAACCAATTGATGGTTCTTTCTTTTTTTGTGGCTTCCAATCTTTGCAATCTCCCCATCCCCTGCACCACATCCCCCGCGCTTGCCCTCCCCCCCACGGAACCCCCCGAAGCCCCGCCAGCCGGGTGATTCGCTCAGGCGGCAGGGCAAAAGGCCCAGCTGGCGAAGATGGAGCTGGAGCTGAGGGCCTTCCTCGAGGCTCCGGGCCTCAGGGTGGAAGCCGAGACCCGAGGATTTGCGGCAGCTGGGGCTTTCGGAGGTTTTCCACTTGCGGCAGGGCTGAGAGTGTATTTTTTCCTAACCTCTCCTGTTCGTCGAACTGTTTCCGCTGCTTTTATATTTTTATTTATTTGTTTTTATTTTTACGTGTCTGAGCTGGCTCGCCCAAACTCGGCTAAGGCTTGTATGAGAGTCTTAAGGACGGGGTACCACAGAAGGATTTGTTCGCCACACGAGGGTCTAGCACACTAACGCATCAGAAGCCTGTCAGGAAATCGACAACTTTGGATCCATCATAAGGACCATACCACTCAGGGGCTGTTCCCCCTATAGTGGTAGAAACAACAAGTTTGGGATGTTTTTTTTTGTCCTCTAAATGGATCCCGACTTGCGACCTGCACCCTCGTATTTTCCCTACGGGTCAAGAATCAGTGTTTTTCTTCGACCCAGAACCTGTGTTTTGCCTACCCATCTATTGCACAAAAGCACACACACGAGGTCAACACTGCTCCAATTCGTGGCTTGGATTGGCAGTTTGGAGGTTAGCTCAGGGGCAGTTGCCATCTGTGGCTTCGAAAGGAACTGGGGGTCAAAGTCTCCAAACTACCCTCTCCCCCTCTAACATGGCACCCGACAGGGGGGCGCTCAAAAAGCGCATTGATTTTCCAGGAAGCCTCCCGCACATGCCATGGAATCGTGGGAAGAAGGGTAAATCAATTCAAAAGCGATTTTTGACGAGGCGGAGGCAGGCCTCGAGCACGACCCAGACGCCGCGCTCAACTCCCTGGACGCAGACCGGCGGCAGGCGAGAAGAACATGCCTCAAAGCGTTCGGATTGCATGTACGGGGTGGGGCTGGCGAAACTTGGGGCAGTCCCACTTGTCCATTTTTTTTGTTTAAACTCAAGGAACTGAGGTGGGAAACTAGACAACAGCGGATCATTGTCCGGGTGAATCAGGGATGCACATATTATTATTGCAACCGTTGTTAAAGGGCGGAGTCTTGCAGGCTTGAGCCTGCATAGATCCGCGATATGAATACGTTTTCGAGAAAAGATGAGTTAGCAGTACGCGGGACAAATATCAGCACACAATTACAGTTTAGATCCATTTAGGTTTAAGACCCAATTTAGTTTATAGTTGAGGAAGAAGATTGCATTCAATACTGAAATGCAGCCTAGTCTTGAGTGCAAACTGGGGTCTCCAGCAACGATTGGATGCAATCAGAGTTTTAAGCCAATAACAACTAAATCCGCAGGTTTTTCCTGTTTCGATCTTATTTTTCACCATCAAATTCGACTGATCGATCTAACATGTAATTTCCAGATAATGGCCGACTTACAATGGTACTGAAGCTTGTGCAGCAAAGGACCTAAACTTCGAGTTCAAAACAAAGTTGATCCGCCCTTTTGGCTTGGCTGATCTTTGGTTGGATCTTTAACGTCGGTATCTCTGTTTCAAGTCTTGCCGAGGTAGTACGCACTCGTGCACTTTGGGATGGAATAATTACATGCTAACGGCTGCAATGCAGTTGGTGATACTGCTGGTGATGCTTGCAATGCTGGTGATGTTTGTAGTGCTGGTGATGTTTGTAATGCTGGTCATGCTTGAAATAGTGATAATGCTGGTAATGCTAATGATGCTGGTAATTCTGATGATGCTGGTAATTCTGATGATGCTTGCATTGCTGGGGATGCCATCACTTTATTGAGGAAGAATCGCCCTCGCGCTGGTAACGCTTTGCCGCTGATCCAGGGACTTGAATCGTGGATGAGCCAGTGCCTTAAACCGTCTGTTTTGGCTGGATTTCATACCTGGGCATTTCGTGGGTCTTGTTGCAAAAGCTCTGGGCATCTAGGACTGCTGCGGCCCATCAAACTTCTTCCATCCGCTCGCGTCCCGATTGCAACTCAAGAATCTGGTTTTGGATGCCAGGCGAGGGACCCTTCGACTTGTTTTCTCCCTTGAAAAAGTTGTTCCTCGAATGGGGGGACTTGCAGGGAGGTTCCGCTCTCGGGGCTGGAAACCGTGGCCAGGTGCTGGACTGCCTGTCTGAGGCAAACTGGGGTGTCGGGAGGGTATCAAACTGGAAACCTAAGTGGTTTGGCAGTCCAGATGCCATTGGACCTTTTCTATGGTGACACATTGGTCTTTCAGATCGTCCCAGGCCCTCATTTGACTTCCAAGGTGGCAGAACTGCCTCAAACATATCCCCACGGGCGCAGATCCTTGGCAACCCCTCCACAGGGCGAATGGGGGTTAAAGCGGCCCCGCATGTTTTACTCTGCAACTTAACATTGAAGGAGTGCCCCAAAAGGAATTCGTCCAAATCAGATGGCTTTGGGGTTCCACGTTAAAGATTGCAGGGGAGTAGCTATTGTCCCAGAGCGCAGGGGTTTAGATCGAAGTCTGAAATCAGCTTTGTCTTTCCAGTATCAATCTGTGTGCTTCAGATGGATTTTGCGTTCTTGTGAAGCGCGGCTTGCACCCGTTGTGTTCCTCCTTCCTTGTTGTAGAGGTGTCTGTGGGGCTGCAAGTGCCCATCTTCAACCCATTCATAGTTTGTTGCATCACGGATTGAACAAAACATCCATCGGACCTCTTGCAAACACTTGAAGTGCCAGAAGGACGATTCTGGATACGCATGAAACGCTTGTGGATTCGAGCGGATTGGTGCACACGCCACTCGCCACATGACCATTTGCGAAGAGTACAAGCCGAAAAATGGAACCCGCAAGGAACCGACAGGGAACTCAAGCTACAGGAACCTATACAACATTGACCCCATATTAATCAACCCCAGTTTATTCATAGGGGTTGTCCCTGGGTTTAGTTGGGAATCAGACCACTTTTGGAGGGGAACACCCCCCCGGCTATGTACAAACTGGGGTTGACTAATCAAAGGAAGTTTAGTTATCAAAGGAAGTTTAGTTAGAAAACTTCCGTAATACGAAAAGTAGAGTCAGACATGCGAAACACGCGAAGGGTACCCCTGTTCAGCGTGCGGTCTCGCCACAGTCTCGCCACGGTCTCGCCACGGGCTCGGAATGTTGCCCACTGTAATGCTCGCGCAGACGTTTTCGGAGGTCCATTTTGCGTGGCAGGCGCAGCGCTTTGGCAGCCTAAGGTGCATATTTCGCAGCGTGTGGAGGCCAAAGATACACTCTTCGGGAAGAGGAGAAAGAAAAGGAAGGAAGGAAGGAAGGAAGGAAGGAAGGAAGGAAGGAAGGAAGGGAAAGGAAAGGAAAGGAAAGGAAAGGAAAGGAAAGGAAAGGAAAGGAAAGGAAAGGAAAGGAAAGGAAAGGAAAGGAAAGCAAGAAAGAAAGAAAGAAAGAAAAGAAAAGAAAAGAAAAGAAAAGAAAAGAAAGAAAGAAAGAAAGAAAAGAAAGAAAGAAAGAAAGAAAGAAAGAAAGAAAGAAATCAAGAAAGAAAGAAAGAAAGAAAGAAAGAAAGAAACCAAGAAAAGAACAAGTCAAGCTCTTCCTAGGCACTTTTCTCGCTTTAGAAACTTCCGCCCACCGGCTCTGCCGGCTCTGCTGGTTTGGGGTCAACATGAGGAGCCTGGAGGAACCTGTCGGCTCGTGAGGAGATGGCTCTGGAAGAGCTGCTTACAGCCCTGGACGAGCCCGGCGCCCCAAGAGAAGCCCGCATGCCGACGCCTGGGACCTGCTTCGAACCCGATGCTGGCTGGAGGCTTTTCTTGGTTTCAAATGGCCATGCGGTTTCAAGTGCAGCCCAGCACAGACTTGGTGTCCGTCTAAAAGGGGGTGCATCATTTTCCTGTTTTTGCAAATCCACGGACCATGGGACCCCTTTGTCACCAGAAGCTACCCTTCTCTCCACCAACATAGCACCTGTAGGAGGGTACCTGGAAGATCAGTTTCCTCTCAAAAGAACCCCCTGTGAGGTGCTATGTCAGTGGGAGGGAAGGTATTCCCAAATCAACAGCCATCAGCCAACTGAAGCTATTGGTTTCCTCGTTCTCCCACTGAGAGTAAGAGAGAGGGATGTTCCGCGAGCGCCAGCACTGCTTCGTTCCTCGAACCTGGGGTGAATCCCCTTCAATGGGGATCCATCCTTTGATTCCTCGATTCCACCGCACCCATTTTTCAGGCTGCTGGCTGAGAAAAAGATCGCGGCGGCGGACTTCATGCGAGAGGCGCCTGAGCTGAAGGGCTGTTTGTTACTGGTTTCATTGGGCCATGCAAGCCCGATAGAAAACCATTTCTATGTTGGGACCAAAGGAGCCCCTGTCGCCAGGTTTGTGTTTGGTGGGTTCTCCATACAAAAGTGTCAGCCCTCAAAAGAGGGCTTCATTTGGTTCTACCAGTGGCGACTGGGCGACTGGGTAAGTGTCGACCCCGGATCAAAGCAGAACCTTGCGCTTTTTGTTCTGGGAATGTCCCCCTTAAAGTGCGATACGTGCGCCTTGCCACAGGACGACGTAGAAATTCTGTGACCCATCCGCAGAGACACGAAAATGCCCAATTGGCAGCTGCGTGGGCAGATATCAAACCGAACAGATGAAAGCTATGTGGGTAGGAAGGTGTGATTTTGCTGAGCCTGACAGCCGAAGACGAAAGCTCCTTGCACGCGCCTGCGTATTTCAAACCACATGACCTTCAACCTCATGAGTCTACCGCTTGATCTGTCGCCCAGCTTGCTTGGATAGCCACAGGGAGCAGTACATTGGGCCAAGTTCTCCTGGACATCCAATTGGATCCCTACAGATCTTGGGAACTCTATTGTGAGGAAGCTTGGTAAATGCACTGCACGATGTTTGCCAATTGCCAATACGTTGCTGGCCCTTGATGGTGGGCCAGAACTGGCCATGAAAACCCCCTGTGGAGGGATGAAAGGAGAGCCAAATCAGTCCAAGTGATACCAACATGATCATCCCGCGTTAAGCCGCGGAGCATGTTGCATCGACTTAGCCGTTCTCATCGTCCAAATCGTTCCAAACATGGCATGGCTGTGTGGATGATCCTGGGCTTCGGTATCATCCAGGTAGTCATTTGTTTGAAGGTGGTTTGTTTCTGTTTGTGACCGCTTGTTTAAACATATTCTTATATTCCTGCTTGAGATGATAAGGCAGTCCATTTCTTCCTTGCTGGCCAAATAAGTCCTCACATGTGAGGCATCCGTGACATACGCCGCATCCGAGACTTGAATGCTGCTTCCGGGTGCGCGTGACCAGAAACAAAGCTCTGCTAAGGTTATCAGTGAGGCCGCAAGGCATTTTTTGATGTAGTTTCCAAGCCGCACATTGTGAAATCACTGACCCCAAGCTTCTGGTTTGGATTTACAGGGCATTGGTGGACCTGGAATCGTTTCAAATTCAATCCTGCCCATATGAGTCAAGAACGTACTTTTGCGAATCCAGATAGCTGGTTTCAGGTTCTTTTTGCTTTTGGGCCATGTGTTGATAGATTTTTGTGGCTGAGATGGTTTTGAGTTCCCTCCCCGGGTCCTCGCTCTCAAGTGTTTGAAGATAAGCGAACTTCGCAGCGGCCGCATCCCAGAGTTGGCCCCAAAGGCGTCTTTGGTGGGCCAAAAAGGCGCGCCCGCCATTTTTCTCCTCTGGTCATGCTCAGTGCCAGGTTCGGGAGGTGTCCCGTCGCCAGTTCCTGTGCAAGATGATGCGCCAGAAGGCTCCGGCGAGCTCGCCGCGGAGGTTTCGTGGGGACGAATTGCAAGAGGTCACCCCAGATCCGTTTGCAGAGTGGTTCACAGGTCTTGTGCCAGGTGACTTTGTTGGGCGTGCTATATATATATATATATACACATGTATATCTCCTTTGTTCCATACAGGGTACTTGGGTGGGTGGTTTGCGCTGAACGTCCTAGGCATGTTTGTCGTCAGGTATGCGCTCTTTGCGTTTTCAGGTCTGCCTTTCTGACGCCATCCCATCCTGACTCGGCGTGACATATCCATCCGCCTTCCGGCAAGCATTCAGCATGTTTATGGCTCCCCGATCAAGAATCCAGACACGCTGCGGCACGGCTTCTTCATTTCTTCCAAAGGAACCAAAGAGGCAGCTTGACCCCAGATGAACTGCTTAGAGAAGGTTCAGCTATGACACGTTTCCTGCGCAACTCACGGGTCGTCTATTTGTTTCCACTCTGTGCGTTTTTGTTTCTAAGTTGGGCATTCTGTTCTGACCTCTTACACAGACACCAGCCCTCTTGAGCAAAGTGGCGCTTTTGGCCCCTTGCGCTGTAGAAGAGCAAGGGCCATTGATTGCTTCAGGCTTGCTATGAGCCGCGTGGGAGGCAGTTTCGCGCTTTGGGTCAAAACTTGGAATCTCCAAGACCACACCGGGCACCGTTTGTTGCTTTTCACAGGGATGATGGGCAAATTTGCTCACGAGCTCACCAATTCGGGGCGTTTAGGGATTCCTGAATCCAGATCGGTGAATTAATGGCAATCAGGGCAAATCAAAACGAGCTCACAGATTGGGGGTAAAACGAGCGCACCCATGAAGAGACTATTGCTGGATTCCTTAGTTCAGGACTTTGCACAGCTTTTTGCCCAGGTATAGGCTGACAGGGTCCAAAGGGCCATGTCCGGCAGCAGATTTCTTCATGGCCCGGAACTTTTTGGAGAGGTCCTATTTGAAGTTCCTTTTTGGTGTAATCCCAAGAGCAGGAGAGGGATGGACGAGATAAAAGCAAACAATATAATATTTATTCCTTACCAATCTTCACCAATATACTATTGTATCTGTTATTCCTTTCCTCTTCTTTTGTTTGGTTTTATTGTTGGGTTAGGAGGTGAGTCTTTCATAGTGACAGGAACTCCAGAAATATCCGAGCGAAGAGAGGGATAGAGATGGAGTGAGTGAGCGGTTGGATGGGTTCGCTCTTCATCATGTGTGCTCACCCATTGACAAGTTACCGCGAGCGAAGGCAGCGGGGAAATGGGTGAGTGGCCATCTCTTTCTCCCTTCCGGATTAACGGATAAAGAAGAAGTTCATCCATCATAATTCTGTCCTTTCTTTAAAAGCCGCTTAAATGCGAGCCTTATGTCTATTTTATTTTCAAATCTTGGGAGTTTTAAAAAGCCTTGACACCGAAGGCAGCGACGGTGGCTCAAGTCCACGTTTGCAGGTTGTAGCTTTGAATTTGATCTGCGTGATTAGGAGTCATAGTTTTTGCATTCAAACCGAAAGCAATATGGGTGCGGGTGAACAAATGGTACCCAAAATGGAACCCTGACAAATGGACACAAGAAAGCCAAAGTATCCATATCCTGGTGGCTAAATTTTGACTCATTATTTTGATTGGACCCGCGCAGCCGTCTGTATGGCACAGACGGCAGTGGGCAGATGCGATGCATCTGGCAGGCGGCGAAGGCTGTGGCCGGCAGCGAGACGAGCGGACTTGCGGATGTGGCGGCCATAGAAATCTCAGGGATAGGAGCCCCTTCTTTTTGAGGAGGTCCAGGGGGTGCAGAAACCGATTTGAAAGCCCCCTTTCTCTTCCTCTCCCTTTGTTCCTCTTTCTCTTTATCTTCTTCTTTCTCTTTATCTTCATCTTTCTCTTTATCTTTATCATTCTCTTTCTCTTGGCTTTCTCTTTTTCTTTCTCTTTGTTGAATCGTTTCTTAGTTCCCCGTCCCTTCCTTTTCTTTCCCTTGACCTGAAAGCAATCCATGATCCAGACCAATCAAGGATTCTGCATAGGGGCAAGCAAACGCGGTCCATCGATCCAGGAATTTGAGAGGCATCCTCCTCTCAAGATTTAATCAACCGCCGTTGTTCTTTGGCACGCTGCATGTGTTGACTAGGCATAAATCCGAACCCATTATTGTGTCAGTTTCCATCGGGCATCATGCCATGGGGCCAGTTCATGCACGGGGATCTGCGTTGCCCATGGATGGGAGGCCTTACGGGAAATTAACCTCGAAGCAGATGGTGTAGCCTTTGTGCGTCTTATGTAGGGTCCTCTTTAGCATGTTCTTTGTGGATAGTCCTCTGCGGCGTATTCTGACCGGCGAAGAAAAGTTGAGCATGCCCGACGAGCATGATGATGGATTGACAGCAGCTGCCGTTCTCTTATGTCCGAGGAAGGCACCAAGAGTTGATGTTTGTTGCAATGCTGTTGGGAATATGCATATCACCCTTGCAACTTAGACGCTCTGATTTGCATCGCCCATGTATTGCTTTATTGGTTCGGGGCTTTCGTCACCATGGCTCTCAGAATGGAATCATCATTTCGCAAGGGATCTAGAGGCAAGGGATCTAGCGGCCAGCCGATCCCGTTTTGCATTCCAACAGCTTGGGGAAATTTGCACGTTTATACTCGGGTTAAAGAACCACAATTCTCCCCCAGGCCGTTTTGGTTCAATCATTCCGATCAATGCCTTACTCGCCCACACAAAGAATTTGTGTCATTTGCTCTCATCCGGGACCAATCAACATTGTAACAACCGCAGTCACATCAATGCGTTGTTCCGCAAAGGAAACTGGCCCTGTCCAGATTCCGAGCTGAATTACCTTAGCAGACCCCGCTCAAAAGGAGGCTTTTTGACACGCAGCAGCATTTTGTTGTCATGGTCCTGCACTGCAAGCCTCCCCCTTGCCCAAAAGTCGGTGGCCTCGTTTTAGGGAAACCAAGGTCAAGCGGTGGTTGCCCTTGTAGTGTCCCACGGATTCGGACTGGGATGAACGATCCCCATCTTCAGCCCAATTCCGGTGGCGCCAAACCCCATCTTCGGCTCCCGCCCCAGGCTTTACCGATGGCGCATGCGACCCCGCTGCCTCCCGCAGGCGGATGGGTTCGCGGGGCGCCGCGAGCGGATCCGGGCGGGGTACCGCTTTTGCGGGTAGTTCTCAGGGTATATAACCGGCATGGGGTTCAAAATGACCGGGCTCCGACCGCACGGGACCAGACTACATGGGTGGAAAAAGTCGTGCAAGATGTCGCAATGGATCGGTTTTGGGGTTCCATTCATCTGGAGACTATGTCCTTGCTTTGTCCAACGCCGGTGGCAAAAAAATCCTTTTGGCTTATTCTGGTATTTTGATGGGCCATCTTCATTGGGTCTTCCTGAGGGGTTCTGTCAAAACAAAAAACGGGAAAGCCGTGCGGCTGCAAGCTGGCCTTTCTCACCACTTTTCAGACGCCCAAGGAAGAGTTCATCTACCCCAAGATTGCCTCTTTGGGGATCCAACCGCCCCTGGGGTTCACGCTTAGGGCAAAAAACGAGTACTGCCATTCCGTGGAAGCTTCAAAGGGCACTTTGCAAGTGTCCAACAAAAGGACTTTGAGTGGTTGGGCGTCAACTCCCTTTTCGAAAGAAAGCCCCAACCCGCTACAAGAACCAAAGAACCTAGAAACACGCTTCGGCTTCAAAGCCACCTTGTTGGAACTGTAATCTGTGTCAAGTAAACGGATTCCCCTGTAGGCATCCTTTTCGGGATATGCCGACATGCCTTTGTAGACAACCCCTTTTCGTATCCGGCCACATTTTAGTGACTTTCCGGTTGCAAGTGTATTCGTCTCCAGTTTTGGTTTCTGACCACTTCACGTTCCTTTCTTGGGGATTCATTTTCCCGGGTGAAGTATCGGGCGGTGAAGTATCACGGCATAAGTTGCATTGGCGCACGAAGCTGTTGCCAAATTCCAGGTTGGGATGCAGCTAAGTCAGCAACATCGAAATGTGTGAAAATAGAGCTACCCCTCCAAAAAAGGATTGTTTTTCCTTTTGGTCTCTCTTGCCAACGACCCGAAAAGGATCAAGAGACAAACCAGCGTTGTCAAAACCCTGACAGCTGGCGTGCTCTCCCTCAGCTTGCGCTCGAGGTGTTGCTCCCCGGGCCGCCGTGGCTGCGTGAGGCTCGACGGCTCTACCCCCAAAAGCCCCATGAAAAAATTGTCTTTTCAGAGGTGAAAGTTGTGCTTGGATGTTGGAACTTTTCCACGAAACCAAAAGTTAAACTTGTTCTGCAGGGGAGCAGATTTCGCCACCGAGTATTTCACCCTGGTCTAACCAGGGCTCCTTTCTGGGGCTGAAGGAAATCAAAGAGACCCCCCCTCCGCCACGGATGACGCTGATGCCCCGCCCAAAACGCCATGAAACACACCCAAGTTGCAAAGCGATGCGGGTTGGTCTCATGGGATATGGATCCCCCCCAAAATTGACGGTTTTCCTTTTTGTGTTTCCTTTCAAACCACACCACAAAAAGAGGATGCAATCATTTATGATACGTAGAATAAAGTTAACAAACCCACATATATATATATATATATATATATACATATACGTATATATATAATATATATATATATATATGTGTATATATATATATATATATAATGTGCATACACACTTCCAGCAAGTCCGTGTTGGATCAGGGCCTTGAATAGGCGTCGATGCTATGCCTTGAAGCAAACACATCCCGCTGCGCCACGAAAGGAGGTCCCTTCTGTGCAGAGATTCAGGTTGAAGTGTGACAGGTTCGGTCTGGGTCTGGATATGCTGAATGTATTGGGACCACCCAGGTTAGAGCAAAGTGATGCCCCTGATACAATGAAAATAATGTGCATCCCGGAAAAGGGGGGGAAGGGTGCACGACATGACATGTTTCCACTAGCATGGATATCGGAAGTTGTCAGAATCCCAAGAAGCCAAGCATCATACCCCAAGAAGCTCCAGCCTGCTTGTTGGAATCTGAAATGGTTCGCCTCGCAGGCGCCCTGAAAGCCGGGAGAGCAAAGTGAGGGCGGTTTGCCAGCTGCCTTGAGAGGTCGGCTTGGGTCAAACCGTTCAATCACCAAGAAAGAAAGGCCGCTGTTGGAGGGGCGTGTTTGGTTTTTGGTGTTTGGGGTTCGCTGTCACAAGTTGGTAGACTTAGATTGAACGGCCAACCAGTATGCATGTTTTAATGTTTGGGAGGACCTGATGGCATTGCGAAAAGACACCTTGGCGGCATGGCCGCCGCTCAGATCCCGCCATGTACAGGGCGGCCGGGCGGCACGTGAAAGAGAAAACGGCCCCGCTGGTCTTGCAGCCTAAGCTTGCTGGAGGCTAAATCAATACACACATTTTGCTCCCATGACCGCCAAGCAACAGGCTGGATCCTTTTAGTTACCATTCAAAGGAAGGCAACCTCACCGATAGGGATCGTGTCTTGATGTGGTTTGAAACTACACAACCCCACAATGATTCAAGCCCTGTTCCCTCCTGATTTAGGTGTGTGCTTCAAAGCGTTCCTTGGTACAAGGCTGCCTTATCCACTGCTCCCAAACAAGGCGGGAACCTCCCTCTGTTGTTGGTCCGCCATTGGATCTTTTGCTCGAAATCATTTGTTTGATTTGCTCCTGTTCGTTGTGAATGAGGCATTGGGAAGCCAAGGACTGCGCACATTCCTCTTTCATTTTTTTTTTGCCATTGTAATAGCAGGGGTCCAAAGGAGACCCTTCATTTGCTCACACTCCAACCAAGAGCATCATGCTCTTCATCCAGCCCATTATCAACAAGCCGTATCTAAACTATATACGTTACAAGTGAGAGCTGCATGAGTCGCATTTCTTTCATGCACTATGAATCCTCGCACAGGCCTCGAATCAAACAGAAGATCGTGAAATGCAACTTAAAGGTCGCTTAGTTTGTCACACTTGGGCTGAGCCGTATCTCGAGTTTTTTTGGGGAGCTTCCATAGAATATGAGGTCTGGCATATGAGTTCAGCGCCCCAGGCTCAGCAGAAGCCGGCACTTGGCATAAAGCCGTGTCTTGGATCATTTCGTTGCTGCACGACCAAGGGCATTGTTTCCCCGAGCGCTGTGCGTCACATGGGTGCCAGCGCCGCTAGTGTTTGGAGCCATGCTCATGCGAATACTGCAAAAAGCGCGCTGCGATGGCTCGCTGGCCGGGTGTTTCTGAAGGGAGGATCCTGGCATGTTTCTGAGCGCAGAGCACCCGCCGCTTCCGGCTTTTGTAGGCATTCCTGGTTTCCTCTTGTGGCCATGCAAGAATGGTCCATGGTTGGATGCTTTTACGGACCACGGATGCACCCACCAGGCAGCAAAAATGAAACATCTTACAGCCCAGTCCACTGGATACCAACATCCTCTTGGGGGTAAGTCTGAGTTCGGCATCAAAGGCGGATATCTTCCCACCGCTTCGGTCACCGTGTTGCGCGGGGCATCTCCCAAGCGCTGGTTCCAAAACGCTCTTGGCTGCTGTTGTCTGGGGTGTGCCAAAAAAGAGTGCAGGGGGAACCGGGGAACACCTCAGCTGTATCTCTGGGGATTGGACACTCTGGAGAACTCCCTTTCCAGGTCAAAAGAAAGTTTTCACTCTCAGAGATACAGCGACAAGGGAGCGCAGATCAATTGACCCTCGGTTTCTCAAGTTCTTGAAGGAGTTTTTCGTCACTTTTCGGGATCGACCGGTTGAGTCTCTCAGTTCACCGAATGCCCTTAAGCTTTTGGTAGGGTTGTGCGGATCCATGCAACAAGTGAGGTAAAGGAGGTGAGCCGAGCAAAGGTTTTATTCCGGTTGCATTCCTAGGTCTCGCGCACAGACGTTGGGGCCTTCAACTCCGGTTCCTGAGCTTCAAACACACATCCGGTGCTGGAACATGTACCAGAACTTGGAGGGTTCCCATTGGAATTGAGGTGATCTGTGGATATATCTCGGGAAAACTGGCAGGGCATCCTTTAGCCGGGCGCATCTTGATTGACAGAGGGAGGTGACTGGGTTGAGGCTCCGTGTGCCCAAAGACTCAATCACATAGGAACAGCTTGCTTTTGGCCGTCTCGATTTCGGCTTCCAGGGCGTTTCCGCAGCGCCAAGGCGCCGATCTGAACGTTGGCCAGCTAAGTCCGGCAAAATGCTCACTGCCACGGGGAGTCCAGGCGATTCCGAAGCCAAGCTGGTTGAACATCGCTCGGGCCCTGCCAGTGCCATGCTGCTGGACTGGCTTGCGGACTGGATAGGCGCGATCGCGTTGCCTCGTGTTGCAATAGCAGGGGAATTGTGCGCCATTTTACAGGTGTTCATCGGTGGGTAACATGTTGAGGGCCTCGCGGCCTCGCCCGTGTCGATGAAGCTCGCGCATGCGGGTGGGACTTCCAACACGGTGCGCGCAGTGGGTCAGTTTGTGGGTCAGTTTTAAAGGGCTTGGAGCAGCCCTCAGAGGCGAAGCGTGATCGAAGGTATGCTTAGCAGCTTCTGAGAGCGGCGAGCCCAGGTTTCAGGAAGGCCCAAATGTTCAAGTTTCCAACTTCTCCCCCAATCCGTTCGCTTTGAGCTCCAGATGGGCTCCTGTCCCAATTCATGCCGCGGCTTGGGCCCAAGCGTCAATTGAGATTTTCCTTGCTTCTCGCCCGCGGTGAGTGTTCGTTGCGCTTCCCGGGAAGTGCACAGCCAGGTGTCGGCATCGATCTCCATGGCAAGTGCCCAGATTCCTTTGGTGCCCATCTCTCAGCTCGCATTGAAGCGGCTGCACAAGGTCGGCAAGTGCCGGCCTTGCCTCTTCACCCGGAAGCAGGACGCGATGGGCGTGTGACTTTTGAGGGTGCCATGTTGAGATCGGCTCGAAAGACTCACCCTCCGTGGTATCTTCAGGCAGAAACCGGAAGCGAGAACAGGCGAGGCTTGTTTCTTGAGCCTTTGCCAGGTGATCGTTTGCCTCGATGTTGCTTTTTGGATCGTCTTATCGGAGTCGCACAATGACCAGCGTGTTGCAGTCGTTTTGCCAGGAGTAACTCCCCGGCAACAATCGTCCCCCTTAGGCCTCCACTCCGAAATTTCGGACAGGGTTCTGGTGCACTTCCATGTTGGGGTAGACATGTCTGGTCGTGGGGTCGGAAGAGTCTCGCCCCGAAGGATGGCTGTTGGAAGGGCGACGCTTGCGACCACTGCCATATTTGCGATGAAGCCCAGGCGCGGGTACTGGGTGGGCGGATCAATGCGGGACATGTTTCCTTTGGTGCATTTTGCTTGGATGTTAGGACTTTAACTTCTTGCCAACTAATGGGTTTTGCATTAAACCAACCGAGTTTCTGTTTCATAGCCGTACGCCCAGTGCTTGTTCAGAGCGTCCATCAATTTTCCTGACACAACCTACGAGGGGCATGCCTCTAAGAGCAAACCTATACTTGCTGTCGGGGGAGTCCATACATTTCGCCAATAAGGTCTAGCTGGGGCTTATCTCTGAGAGTAAGCCAACTACACAAGCTGTGAAGGGATCCACACATTTTTGCAACAAGGTCCAGAAGGGGGTACAAGCAAACCTAAAGTTGTTGTGAAGGGGTCCATACAAAGGTTTACAAAGGACCCGTGCTCAGGCGAAGGTCCGCTTGAACCGAGAGAGACTTGAACAGAGGAAGATGCAGAGGCGAGCAGCACAATGCGAGGACAGGGTTGGGCAAGCATCCATGTGCATGGCAGCTGGAGTAGGGACGGAAAGTGGTGTACCTGGCTGCCCCGAAGAGGATACTCTAAACGCAGAAAACACAGGCCACATCCAAATGCGCGCCTTGGGTCGCACGACCCAAGGCGGATGCGGACTTTGCGGCTATATTGTGTATGCCAAGGTCTATAGTTTGATTTCTGGATGTCTCTTTGACAAGGGGATCCATCTTTTGCAGTTTGGCGAGTACCACATGTCGGAGCTATCAGTTATGGATGCGGAACTCAGCAAGAAGCCGAACGAAACAACCGTTTTCCGCCGTCAACTTTTTAGCGAAGCTCTCGTGACCAGCCTGGCTCGTGGTGGTCCCTCCGCCACCTCAATAGAAGCTGTCCACGAAGTCCCCTTAGAGAAAATCCCGGGCTTTGGGTGGGACTTGGACTTGCTAGTACTTACTTTAGTATTGCCAAGTCTAAATTTAGTGTTGCCAAGACTTACTCTCAGATTCGCAGTGCTTAGTGTAGTATTGCTAATTCTACATTTAGTACTGCCAAGACTGACTCTGAAATTACCAGTACTTTATTTAGAACTGCCAATTCTAAATCTAGTATTGCTAAGCCCGACACAGGTTCCCAGTCTTAATTTTGTATTGTCAATTCTAGTTTAGCCGGGAAGACCCCCTTTTTTCTCAGCAACCCCCAAACAGGTTGACGCCAAACAGTCACTTCAAAGAGGATCAGGGCCTCTTGCGGGCAAACCCCTCTCTGTGACTAATTGCCCTTACTTCTTTGTAAAGAAGTGGCTGTGGGCAACACCAATGGTACTATTTTGGGGTAGGTGTTTCCTTTAAGGCGTTCGACCGACTTCTTTGGCCAGTTTTTTTTTCTTTTTCTCTGTTTTTTCCCTCCGGTTTTTTCTTCCCCGGCAAATAATCTTCCGGACCCCACAACAGTCACAGGATCTCACACTAGCAAAAAGTCTCTCGACAAGGGAAAACCTTATCTTTAAAGGATAGTAGCATTGCTTTTGATGCTGATGTCTTTGAATTTCCAGCACATGTCAACTTTCAGTGGCTCAGGATCGATCCCATTGCGAAACGATGGGGCACATCCGTCATCCGTCCGTTGTACGCACAAGCAACAGCTTGAATGGCGGCACTGTTACTGTGCATTTTTTGGAAGCGTCGTGCTTCCAGCCCAAAAAGCATCATACTAAATGTGAAGAAGCGAAAGTACGAAACAATGCAGCGACGATTCCCAAACACGAAAAAAAGCAAGAACCTGAAACACAGTAAGAATCTGAAGAACACACTCAACTGTTGCGAACAATCAAAGCACACGAAAACTCGAAGATTCGAACAAATACCGAATACACGTAAAACTAAAAACAAAAGCATTCCAGGCCCCCAACGAACATAATGAACATTCGAAGAATTTGGAAAAAAAGCGCGCAAAGTCGAAAAGCAGCATGCGAAAGCTCAAAAAGTGCGAAAATATGGAACACTACCAACAATAGAAACACATGACAACTCGAAAGCTCGCATTTGTGTCTTTCTCCATGTTTTGAGTGTTCTGTTTTTTGAGTTTCATTTTTCTGTTTCGTTTCATTTTGTGTGCGTGTGCTTTTTTGAATGTTCTTTTTTTTGTGTGTGTGTTTTAATGCTTTGTTTCTTTTGGTTCGCAGAGAGGGCCAGACAAAGCGATGACGCATAGTTGATCTGTCCAGAAGCTGAGAGGAGAGCCCTTCATGTCAGAAAGCACCCACGCACAACGGACAGCAAAACTTGATGCCCAAGCCGGAGCAAAAGGGGTTTCATGACGCCCCTGCAAACTCTTGTAGTGGGTGGTTCATTCACATGCACAACTTGTTGGAAAAGGTGGCTGTAGGTAGGCTTGGTTGGCTTAAGTGCTGGTCTAGGGTGGGTTTCGGGTTGGCTTCGGGTTGGTTAAGGGTGGGCTTAGAGTTGAGGCGGTGGGGAGGTGGGCTCAGGGTGGTTTAGGGTAGGTTTAAGGTGGTTTGGGGATACCGGGGATACCGAGGGAGAAGCTGCGCGATCAAATCCTGGCTGAGGGTATTGCTGTTGCTCGGGTTGCTCGGGTTGCTGATGCGATCTGCCGTCAAGAGCCACGAGAACCTGAAGGATCTGAAGGCCACAGCCAAAACGGAGGCCTCGTAAAAGCGGAGGCCACCGTGAGGGGTGGCCACTGGTGGCCACTGCCACTGCCCAGCTGTAAAACCGCTTCGCCGTAGGAGTGTGGTTGGTTTAGGGCTTGGTTTTGACTCGGGCTAGAGTCGGGCCTATTGGGTTTGGTTTGGGGTGGGTTTCGGTGTGGTGCTGGTTTAGCATCACATGACTCTAAAGCATTGGTTAAAAAACATTGGCTTGGCGTTCTCAGCGTTTTCCTGTTATCGAGTTTTGGAGTTCAGTCGTTTCCGTTTAATACTTTTTATCCTTTGAGTACTGGACATCTAAGATTCAGTATTGGCAGTACTAAGTTTACTATTGGCAACAGTTCAATTTTCCGAATACTCATGGAGCATTGAGATTCAGCACTGGGAACTTCTGGGAAGCATACTTAATCCAGATCCACAAATTAAGAATAGCCAATGCATGCATTCGCAGATTCCGAATGCTTATTTTTCGTTATTGCCACTACTAAATTGAGTGCTGACAATCATTAATATTCAACTTCTATTTGTAGAATTTACTCAACCAAACAAGAGAACCTGCAACAACACCATGTTCTACATTCAGCCGAGATTGTCCGTGCAGCCATTTAGAGAGTGGATTGCCCGCTCAAGGCCTTGCTTAGATCAGATCTAGACATTTGTGTTTTTGAATCGGCCGCCAAACCATCAGTTTTCTTACTTAGAACCCTTTTAACGAAGGCAAGGCCAAACAGTCACACAAACGGGGTAGCCGGCAAGAGCCTCTAATCCTCTTTAATCTGACTGTCTTTGGATCCTCTTTGATGGCAAGCTTGCTTTTTTTGGGGGTTGGTGAAATTTCAAGATCAACGCTGGTAAGGGTAGAAGCCAAAGTCTGGACAAATAGTCGAAAATCAGACTAGAACAAGTCCACAAAAAGTGTATCCAGCCCTCGCCATTTTCTGAATTCATACCTCACCGGGAGGCGCAAGCGGTGCGACCATTCAAACAAGGGGACAACACAAGCACTAGAAAAAGGCAGAGAAGTGCGACAGCGAAAACTCGCATAAAGGGACAAAACAACAGATAACTAAAATTCCAGGCCCCCTACGAGAATGCGAAAACTCGAAAATCGAAATAGTGCGAAAGCTCCAGGATTTCGCAACGCATAAATACGAAACCTCGAAAAAAACACAACAACAAGTGCGGCGCGAAAACTCGAATGGCAACGGGAAACATGCGAAAGCTTGAACAGTGCAAAAGAAAGAACAGTGCCAACGCCAGCAATAAGAGCGCCAAAATAACTCGAAACCTAACAGGTGTTTGTCTTTGTTGTTTTAGTTTTAATTTTTTCCCCACTTCTTTGAGCTTTTGTTGTTTTTGTTGTTGTTCTTTCTTTGGGTTGTTGGGAACAAACTTCCGTCCCCTTGCTGACTTTCAAGATGGTTCACCCAAGACTGGGGAAGAAGAAGAAAGCGTTTAGGGAAACCGTTTGGCCCCTACTCCCTTGACTGAGCAACCCTTGACCAATGCCGAAAGCGGCGCGTTCTTTTTTTTCCCATGCCCTGAGGCTGGGAGAGTGGAGGTGAGGGCGGAAGGATTGAAGGCGCCCGCTCGAAAGCCAAGGGTGGTTCAGGAAAAACCGCCCACAAAACATGGAACAAAACCCAAGAAACACCCACAAAGCAAAAAAACACTGGTCATTCGATTGCATCCAATCGCCTTGGGCCCAATACAGGTATACACGCGCCCGCAGCTTTTGTTCCACACTCCATCATGCCTTGAGAGTTTTCCATAGCCGTGAGCCCCTTCCATGGCCCGATTCCCTGCTAGAGGAGTGAGGGCTACTTGGCTAGAAAACGAAAGGTCGTTGGGTCAGATGTTGTCAGCTTATTTAAAGCAAGGCTGCGAGGGGCTTTCTTGGGCCAAGCCGCCTCGCAGAAATTTGCTTGCCCAACCGCAGGTGCTTGGGCCTGTCATCCAGCTGTGACAGGATTCTTTGTGCAGGATGCTAGAACGATGTTTGCGGCCTCAAGGCGACATTGTTTTGCCATGGGCTAGAAGAATCCCCAAAGCCCTGGCCGGCGGACAGGTTTGGAAGATTGGCTCTAGTGACCGGATGAATAAATCTGTCCTACGAACATGTGGGCGACATCCCCCAAAGTGCGGAATCCCCCGTCAAAAGTGGACTTCCAATCGGAATCTGTCTGAGTGAAACGCCAACGCGCCAGCCCCAATGAGACTGCGCAGAAGATTTGTGTGCAGCGCTTATACGCGAGCATTCTGCCTAGACATCAGCCACACCTCGACTCAAAAGTCGGGCTGGGCGTGTGAATTTGCAAGCGCCTCGTTCGAAGGCTGCTTCTGGTGAATGCTTGGCGTGCACAAAACTAGGGACCCCATAGCCGTTGGTTGCAGGTTGCTTCCTCCTTAAGAGGGTCGCATTCAAGCCATACCCATCAAACCAAGCAAGCAAGCCATACCAATCAAACCTGTCAATTGTTGGGTCTCTTGTTTTGACGCACTTTTTTTTGCGCATTTGCCTGTGATTTGAAGAGCGGTTTTCCGTTTGAGCTGCACGGCTTCCAAGCCGTTCGCCTGCGAAAAAGGAGAGGATGGATTTCAAGGGCCCACAGAGCCAAGCCTATGGTTCCTGTGGGCTCGTATTTCTTTCCCAACATCGTGGCTCTTCGCCAATCCGGATATTGACTCCCTGACAGGTTTTGGGAGGATTCCCTGATATGCTGAATCCCGTCATTGGCCAGGCCCCCGCTCCTGCCGGCTCAAGGAGTATCCATCACCCAGCTTCCACTTTACCATTCTAGTAGGTAACCAGGGAAAACCAGAAATAACCTAGAGGTAAATGTGTCCGGTTGCATACTCGATCGCGGAATTTCCTGGGATTCTCCATTCAGGCTCCAAGTTCAGCGAGACATGTTCATCCACCCCCTGTTTGTTCACGTTGACGAATCCGGAGTCGACATTCTCGTGGTGACTGGCACCACATCTGTGCAGGGGTTGATTCAAACCTTCCACCTGAGTAGCGATGTTGGCCTGAAGGGAAAGCTGGAATGAGGATCTTGAAGCCACAGGTTGAAACTGGTCGGGCCGGCTCTCAGTTTCTCAAAGCGATCCCAAACTGCACCAACAGTTCTCAGTTGGCCAGCACTTGCAACTCTGGGGAAGGCTGTCTCCTAGATGGCTTGATTTTTTTGGTGTTGTTGAAACAGCCAAAAGGGTCCCACCCACTCTTCCACGCTTTGATTCCCCATTCGCTTCAGCCATCGTTCTCTTTAAAAACCACCCATTTTTCAGGGTTTGGCCCCTTTTTTGAAGAGAAGGTTCCGTGAAGAGAATGGGGAGGGGGTTGCTCCTTTCTCCCCGTGCTCCAGGCGAGCCCCATCTGGTTCCGCACGACCTGAGCCATTCCGTGCATGGCGCCTGCGCGGAATCCAAGGCTTTTTGGTCTCCGTTGCTGCCAGTCCGTGTTGCTGGTTTGCCTGGTTGCGTCCCAACTGTTTCCAAATAGGTTTTTGCCAGAACCGTTTGCAACCTGTTCTATTTGATCGAGCTTCTCCCAAACCTCCGCATTGGAACATATTCCGCTGCTTCATTCATCCCGCTTGCGTTGGTGCAAGCATTTTTAGGTGGCGCCCTCCGTGTTGACCGAAGTTTGCCTTCAATGCTGCCCCCGCAGTGACTTTGAGGATGCACCCTGCTTGACTTTCTTTTGGGGTGATGCCCACATGGAACGCAGATATGGAAGTTGCTCAAGCAAGGTGCTTCCTTTTGGTTACCCTTTGTATCCATCCAAAGTGGCCACCTTTTTGAGACATTTTCGTGGGTCAAGCGCGATTCCTCTTTCTTGCCCGCAGTCGTTTGAAGTGAATGCTATGCCCGCAGGCAAGAACTGTCGCAGGCTGTGGCTGTTCCGGTGTGAGGTGACTGTGCTAGCTGCTCAAAAAGAGATGCGATTTGCAACCCACAAGCAGAGAGGAAGCATCCGTTGCAAGGCTCACACAAACAAACAAGCAAGCACGCCAGCCAGCCAGCCAGCAAGCAAGCAGGCAGGCAGGCCGGCAGGCAGGCAGGCAGGCAAGACAGACAGACAGGCAGGCAGGCAGGCAGGTAGGCAGGCAAGCAAGCAAGCAAGCAGGCAAGCAAGCAACACACAACCACACAACTACACAAACACACAGTCACACAACGAAACAAAGAACCACAGAAACAAAGAAGGAAGCAAAAACAACAAAGAAGCAAAGACACAACCACACACCGAAACAAAAGAAACAAAGACACCACACATGAAGTAAGAAAAGACACCAAAGCAAGCAATACGTACGCAGATAAACAAAGAAACAAAGAAACAAAGAAACAAAGAACCAACGAAACAATGAAACAAAATAACAACGAAGCAAGAAAAAACATAAAAAACACAAAACACCAACAGCACCACCAACACCAACACCAACACCAACACCAACACAAACACCAACACCAACACCAACACCAACGCCAACGCCAACACCAACACCAACACCACACACACACACACGCATCCGGGGTGTCCTGTAAAGAGCCGGTGTTCATCCCCTCTTCAGGACGCCAAGATGCCAAGTATTGATGCAACCTTTGCCCCAGGGATGGGCCAATCGGCCAATCTCTTGTTTGATATGTTTAAACAACAAACTCCTTGTGCTTTCCCTTTGAAGGGGGCAAAGGGGATAGCGGTTCAAACAAAAGTTGTCCGATCCTGTTCCAGTTTACACTTGCCCGGAGTCACGCTCCGGTTCTCGCTCGCTGATTCTTTTCGCGACCAAGATGCGGGCGCCGACTTCCTGATGTTAGGTCGGAGTGGAGGGAGGGGCCCAGCCAGCGGGCCGTACGGTCATTTTGTGAATCGAGCAAGCCAACGTCCACTTCTGTTTCTGGCTATTCCCTGCAGGAATTCTGCAATTGGGGGTTTTACCCTTGATTCATCTGGAGGGGATGACGAATCCAAGGCTCGCATTCCTCATGCTGATGAACTCTTCCCCTCAAGGACTTCAGCATGTTTTTCGATTTTTTATCGCCCTCATATGCTCAACGAGTCTACAGTTTTGAGATTCGCTAAACAAGCTCAAACAAACCTTTACGCCGGCCATTTTGCCCCCAGTTGCGCCTCTGGTGGAAGGGGGGGGTCAACCACGATCTAACCGAACCGCGCATTTTCGCGTGCATTCTTCTATTGGCTTTGGGCCTTCGACTTGCTGATGCTTTGTCTCGCACTCGAGGCAATCTCATAGCTCTTGACCACTCGAGCATGACCAGTTTCTGGGCTGAGACTTTTTTTCTGACATGGTTTGCCTTTTCCCACTCTTCGTGGAGTCAACAAACAGCCTGCGTAATAGAAACCCTTTCCAAGAAAAGCTGTTGTTTTCAGTGGAACCGGCTTCCTGCGATTTGGTGACAAGCTCCGAAGACGGTTCGGGCGGTTCGGCTGTCGCCGAAATGACCATTTGGAAGGCCGTGTTTCAGCTCCCGAGAAGTCTTGGTGAACCACTGCCGATGGTTTTTTTGCTGGGGTTTCCTCCAGGTCCTGAGATGTGCGCTTCTGTGTCTGTTGTTCCATGGCCAGTCTGCGACAAACTTTGCTTTTTTTCTGAACAAACAAGGCCGGCCGAACGTAGAGAGTTGGCGTGAGTCCTAGGCATTCGGCATCGGCATGGTGCCAGGGGGCAGAGGTACAGGCCACCTGGACGCCACGCACGGGTCGCCCAGGTTTCGTTGCTTCCGGTTCGTTGCCTCCGGAGTCGCGCTGAGGAGCTGAGATTTTTTTTCCTTCCCCCCAGCCTCTGTACAAAATGGCCAGACAGGCTGACAGGTAAATTCGACCTCCCAGGGGTTCAGCCGCCTTCGGAGCCCCGCTGCGAAACTCATCTCAGGCGCATGTGTGGGAGATTCCAGAAAACCTTCGCAGCCGCGGCTCATAAATCCAGACGTTCGCAGCTGTGATTCTTGAGACCTTTTCCCAGCTCTGAAAGCATCCTACATTGGGGGAACAAGCACAATTTACTAATGGTAAACATGTATTTTGGCGGGTGAGTGGCCGGAGTGGTCGCACGCTGCCCTGAAACGCCAAAGCAGCGAACGGGGAGAGTTGAAGCTTGGCCTCAGGTTTTCATGTTGGCCCTGAAAAGGTGCTCAAGAATAGATGACAAGTTCCCAAGGAGCTGTGAAATCACCTCCAACCTGTCTTCCACTTGGCTTGGGAAACTCCTGTTTGCTAGCTCGCTTGCGTCTTGGTATCTGGGAAATGACCAATCCTCCGCTTGCTTGCTCCTCCTTGCGTTTTCGGACTCACCAAAAGCCTTAGTGTCGATCGGAGAGTCGCCTCTCCCAGTGATTCCAGTTCCCATTACAGTACCCTTACCTTTAGGTTTACATGATGCATTCCCGTGGTTTCCCAGTATAATGACAACAGCAAACATGGCTTGGTGCATAGACTGCTTTAAAGATGGACTTCTTCCCCTCATAGTTGGGGTGTTCTTGGAAGTGCACAGGCCCATTTTGGAAGCCCACCTTCTTTTTTTTAAAGAGGGGGCTGTGGACCGAGCCACGTTTGTCCGTTCCAGAGAATTTACGTCCTTTTGCGAGGTGTTGATTGCGACTCAAATGGCTGTGGGTCAACACCAATGGTACTATTTTGGGGTAGGTGCACCACCCATTTAGTCTATTTTAGTGGGGATTGGGATGTTCACTGGGGGTGCGGGGTTTTGACCCACGGCCAAATGAGCATCCTGGTAGCATTGGCCGAGGTCCTTCTTGGCAGTGCCCAAAATGCACCGCCTGGCCACAAAGGCTGTGGACAAGGCTGGCTCAAGCGGAAGCTGCGCAGGTTGGGGGGTGGGGTGCGGTAGGCCCACTCTCCGTGATACTGTGGGTGGACAAAATCCTGCACCATTTGAAACCATGGGAAACCGTTGTTTGTTGGTGTTCACAGGCGAATCATCATGCCAGGGTTTCTTAGGTGGTGCAGGATTTCGTCCATCCACAGTATCAAGGGAGTTCTCCGTGGGGATGGTGGCACGGAAAGAGCGATTTCGCCGCAAAATAGGAACAGCAAAGACAAGGGTGAGGAACCCAAGAGCAACAAAAGCAAGATTGTAGGGGTCACTCAAGACACCCGGCAAATGAAATCACGACTTCGCTCAGGGTGGTTGTTTGCGCGACAACATCACCTATGGTGGAGGTTCCTTTCCTGGGCAAAAGCTGAGATGGGGTCACGATCTTCGGATGGTGAAATGATCACCGCTCAAGGGTTTCGAAACCCCGAAATTGAGTGGCTTCCTGGCCCAAAACGGCAGCCCCTAAAGACACCCAATTGCAGTGGCGCCCGTCACAACGTACCACCAACAAGAGAGCAACCATATCTCCACTGCCGGCACCCTCTGTCACGACCGGGATCCTGAATGATATGGCCACACCCAGTGCTCCCAGTTGCCACAGAAGGGCAGCCCAATGGCTTCGGGTGCCTCAGGCCTTGAGCGCGGCTAGGTCCACATCTCCAAATAGCTTGGCTGGTTGTCAGCTTGGAGCAGAGGCTATGGAAGCCACAGCTGTCATGGCCTCACTTGCAAGGATTTCTTGCTCGAGTCCAGCCTTGTTCGATCACCTGCGGTGTGGGCGACTCTGGTGTGCGCAGGATGAGCAAAGCTGCGGAGTACCTGGCGTTTCGGAAGACCTGCTTCCCTCGAAAGTGCCCCCGAAATTGGGGGCGAATTGAAAGAGAAGCCGAAAGGGTTTCGAACATTTCCCATTACCCCATGAGCCCAATTCAATGAGACAACTGGAAAGCTCCTCGTTTTCCAGGCGCCCTGTCGCTTCGAATCGGAGGCCG